GAATTCCACATACCATATGCTCTCTGTTGCTCTTCAATATAAGGATGTTTTCTTTCGTTTGAGCTTGAGGGACAGTCAATACACATCTGTTCCTTCTAGTTCACATTGGGAATTTGCATCTGTTGTGATTGATAAGCTGGAAATATTTTCTGAGATAACTCAGTTATTCTCTGGTTCCAAGTATCCTACTGCCAATCTTTTCTTCCCAAAGATTTGTGACTTGAGATTGAAACTGAATGAGTGGGGTCTTGACCCCAACCCTGTGATTTTTGGAATGGCCAGTCAAATGTCTGAGAAGTTTGATAAGTACTGGGATGATATCCATCTTGTACTTGCTGTTTCAGTTGTTTTGGATCCTAGATATAAGCTCCATGTGATTGAATACTATGCTGGGAAGTTTGGGAGTATGGAAACTGACTTGGTTGGTGATAATATCAAGAAGATTATTTGTGGTTTGATTCTTGATTATCAAACCAAAGCCGAGAAGAATTCTGGTTCTGAAACTGGAACTTCTTCTGCTAGTTTTGGATCTGTCTCGGCTACTGAACTTGACTTTGAGCTCTTTGTAAGTCAAAGGAAAAAGAGCAAGAGTTCTTTGATTACTACTGAGTTGGATATGTATCTTGCCGAGTATATTATTCCTCGGACAGCAGACTTTGATCTGCTCTTATGGTGGAAACTTAATGGTCTCAAGTATCCCACCTTGCAAGCAATTGCAAGGGACTTTCTGGCAATCCCAATTACATCTGTTGCTTCTGAAAGTGCATTTAGTTCTGGTGGGAGGTTGTTAGACCCTCACCGGAGCAGGCTTCATTATTCCACTGTTGAATCAATGATGTGCACACGAAGTTGGATTATGGAAGACATGCAACAAGGTAACATGCAACTAAATCTCTAAATTCTAGTACAACTAATTTTGTTTAAGTGTAACTAATATTTGTATACTTTTTTCTGCAGATTCGGAGGCTGCTGCTGTGGAGGCATTGGAGGGAGTCTTCTCAGCACTGTCAGTGGAAGATACTACTGTAGAAGAGGAAGAACCTGGGGGTAAGAAAATTAGTGCATTTCTAATTTTGTTCAATGAGATTTGAGGTTGAACTAATGTGTTTTGCTTTCTGGTTTTTAGGTCCAGAAATGGTGTTCCTGAGATCACCATTTGGCCATGAAGACTGAACCATTCTCTACTGTTCAGCCAGGTTAATTACTTTAAAACTTCTTCTCTTTTGTTGCAAGAACATGGAGTTTGTTGGTGTTACACTGTTACTGGTTAGGCTTAGGGAGTTAAGTCTTTTTACTTGAATGTTAGTGCAGAATTTCAATTGATGAATGATGACTGCCGCTACCTGCTATTGCGTAAGATGGCTAATGGCTTGATGGGTTATGGAAGGCTGCTGTTGGTGAATTTCAATTGATGTATTTCAATCGAAGGAAGGCTGCTGTTGGTGCAGAATTTCAAGTTGAAGCTTCATCTTGCTCGAAGGAAGGCTGCTGTTGGAATTGATCTCAATAGTTAGGATGGCTTATGGCTTTGTTTAGCTAATTAGCTTAGTTGTTCTTGCTTTGAATAAGACTCGGCAATCAGACTGCTGAGAATGGATTGTCTTTTGTTGATTTCAGTTTGGATGATTTGATACTTTGCTTGAATTTTGATTGTTGATCTCAACTTTCAAGTTTCGAATGTTACTGATGTCAGGTTCAGGGTTCAGTTTTTGAGATCTTTTATAAGTTTATTATTGATAATAAAAGGAGATGTCAGATTTTCAGGATTTTTTTTAATGTACTTTGTCGTTTTGGTTGGCATTGTTACGGGCTTTTTAGACCCGTGGGCACCCGAAAACCCAGCGGTGACGGGGCTGGGTATATTACTAGGCCCGGAAGCCCGTTTGGGTCGGGGACGGGTAAACCCGAAGCCCAATGTGGGCGGGGAACGGATACAGGGTACCCGGCCCCGATCCGCCCCGTTGCCATGCCTACACAACACCTAACAATGGCCAAGTGTAACCAATGAAAGGGATTGCAGTATAGTGGCTCAAGTAATAAATATCGAATCCACGGGTCTCTAGAGTTACTATTACTCAGCTTCATTTCATTATCTAGCAAATTAGATTAAGATGAAAGAACTAAAAATACTCTAGCAAACTACAGTTAAAGTTAATCTAATTACAGGTTGGGAACTCACTCAGGTATGATTCCCCCTAGCCACTAGCCAGATTAACTATTAATGATCTCTAATTTGTTTCACTTTCATCCACAATGCGGAGAATCCTTGACTAGACCTTGAGTCTCGACTAAAGGAACAAGGCCCTCTTGAGTCAATTGCCTAGAGGGACGTATCCTTCTCTAGCACAACCGATCAAGGCGTTCTGAACTAAACTCCCTCTATCGAAAGAGGTTCTCAATCGATACAAAGCAGTGAATCAACCCTCGACTAAAGCAATCGATCCACTACTATCAATCTATGGTGCTCTATTGACCTAATCAGGTATTCGCTCTCATAGGATCAAAGCAGAATCAATAATCTCGACTAAAGCAGAATTGAATCGTGAAAACATGCATAGATTGAATATGAACTCAAGATTATCAAGTAAGAGTACTCATACAATCATCCAATCAAACAATCATAGCTAGGGTTCCTCAAAACCTAAGTGAAGGGAAGTTACTCTATAGAGAAGAGAGAGACTGCAGTAAGAATCTTCAGATGATCAGTCTTCAAGTCCGGGCTTGTTCCTCGAGCGTTCAAGGTGAAGAAATCCTCCAATTCCCCTCTTAGAATGCCCTCAAATCGCCCTCTCTCTCTTTGGTTCGTCCCTAGGGTGTTTAGGATCCAAAACCCAGCTCTCCCTTGCAAAAATGCACAAAACAAGCTTTTAACAGCCTGCGTTCGCGATCCCCGGTCAAAATACCCGGTCGGGTATTTTAGGTCACGACCGGGGATTTTTGGTTCACGACCGGGGATTTTTGGTTCACGATAGGGCCCCCTTCTGTTTCTCAGAGAAGCGCGAAACCAATTTTCCCCTATCTTTGATTCTTCGTTTCTCCCTCGTTCGGACTCCAAATCAGGTGCCGTTTGATCTCAGACGCTCGTAGTCTCGTCCTCTTTCTTCTCATGACAAGATTACATGATTATATGGTCACAAACTGAGGTATAAATCCCTTCTTCTTCAAGTCATACCCGAGTTTCTTCCCCCGAGTCGCCAATTGATCTCTGATTGACTTGAAACTTGCGCCTACGCTTCACTTTATGTGCTAGGACCTGAAATGTGACAAAAGAACACAACCTAGCGTAAAATAGGCCAAAGAAGCAATATTGAAAGCTTAAACGATCAAGAAACAAAGGGGAAAACATGTGCAAATATCGAGTCATCAGTGTTCTTTCAAAAGGACAGCTGAAATGTATAAGTAGTCATCTTAAGATTCATTCTACATTAAGCCAACAAACTAATCGCGACAGCTAAGCTTCTAAAAGCTGCCACTGCAGAATCTAAAAGTTCACATATCGTAAAAACAAACTGTTCACGAACATCCTATTCTGGTAAACAGAATACTTAAAATAAGATTCACAACATGGCCCTTCACTGCACAAATCTTCTAGCAATACTACTGCACTTCTTTGGGGTCATAGTCATCTCCATGTTTACTTTCTGCCCTGTAGAGGTTGTCCCTCCAAGATTCTCATTTCTCAGGACTTGGCTTAGTCTTGTTGGCTTCCTCCAAGATAGGAGTTGCACTTGTGTGGAGTTGACTTGCTGTCTCGCTCAATTGCTCCAATCAAATTACAGCAATAAGATAAATTGAAATGATGAAATTAATTTGGTACCCTCTTCTACTATTTGAAAGGATGTGCTGCTGATATATTCGTCACTTACCCCAAATGGATCATGCTCCACACTAACCACAGAATACTCAGCTTGAGGGTTCAAGTAGTTAAACTCAGTCAGTTTAACATGTAATTTCAGTCTTATGTTCACAACTTGCTATATTTGTGGAGGAATTGGTTCTTTCTTCCTCTGATTTGCTTGGAACAATACATCAATTATTACCTCAAAGAAAAACAGGCATTCACGCTCCAAAATTGCAAAATATGCTTCACCAGAATCATCTTTCAAATGGAGTTTCACTCTATACCTAAAGCCAATATGGAGTCATACTGAAAATGTCATGATTCTGCATCCCTATACCTTATGTCAGCTAAATCATGATTCTTATCACATTGGAACAACAAAATTGCATACTGCAGTTTGCAGGAAAACAAAATTAGGTTATCAGCAACCTATATTCATCACCACAACAAATTCTTCATATATAGTTCATACCACCTCTGACTCACACAAATCCACTATATTTATTGGAACTCAACAGAGGAAAAGGATCACCCAACCATAAATTGGTGCATAAAAGAATCCGCGGTTGCACAATGAAAGCAGAATCATAATGAACAAATTTGAAATACCAACTATTTACAATAAAACCCCAATGGATATTAACATAAAGCAGGAAAGTTTTATGAGAAAACACATAATTGAAGATCATTCAAAATCCCATTATCCATTGTAATCCTTGGCTTTATCTTAGCCCTCTCAGGTATGCTTTCAAAATCACATATTGCACTCCTTGAGCAGTTTCATCGTGTTTAGAAATAAAGTGTTCTATAAAGATCAAAAGCGTCTAGGAGGAAACTTGCTAACAGCCAAAGCTAAACGAAATGCAGAGGGAGACATACTTGGGACTGAAAAAACACACTCTATAAATCCGTTGTAACCCCAAAAGGAATTTTCTTCTCCTCCGAGCTAAAGTTGCAAGATGGGCCTTCACGAGGGCGAGGCGGGTTTTCAACTGGTCAATAACTAAGATTAAGAAGCATCAGAACTAAGAACAATTTATATGTACTTAAAATCATTGAAAAACTTATATGCCTTCGTTTCCCTAACAAAGACAAAATAGAACACACAAAAATTAAATAACAATCAGGTACAATAGATTCATTTAATTTGTTACCGAGTCGTTACAAATTAAATGTATTTGCCCGTTTTGAGGTCGGGTCGTGTGTTCGTCAAGTATATGACACTAACAACTTGAACACATATAATATGTCAGGGGGATGAGATAATGTCACAACCCCTTTAGGGGTTGTCAGATTCACAACCCATTTTGTAGCCATTGGATACATTCTCTCTCTTGTCTCTTTCACCTTTTTTTAAATCGATGGTTAGTATTACACGAAGGGTATTTTTAGAATGAAAAAACTAACCACATAGGATTACTATCACTATTAATTTCCATATCCTTTCCTTTCTCTAAAAACCCTAATCAGATCCCCCTCTCTGCAGCCACCACCACCAGTTCTCCCTTCTTCTACCTCTTCTTCTTCATCACACCTGCCCATACCATCGGAGCCACCACCATCGAGCCCTCCCGCCGCCCTCCGTCGTCACCCCCTGCCGTCGGCGCCATCACCATCACAGCCTCTCCCGGTCGCCGCCCTCTGCCGCTGCAACCACCTCCCACCACCATCACCAAAGTCGCATCTGCCTCCCCCTTCCATTCTTCCTCCACCTCCCACCACCACCTGTCTTCACACTGCCGTCGCCGCCACCACGAGGTAACCACCTCTCCTCTGCCTTCCCCTTCCCTCATCCCCTATTTTTTTTTTTTAGATCTGGGATTTTTCAGATTTCATATATGGTTTTTCTGTCTTAGTCTCTAGTGGTACACTACCAGTGCTATTGGTACGCAACCAATGCTAGTGGTACGTTACCAGTGCTAGTGGTAGCACCACCAATGAGTAGTGGTACGCTACCAGTGGTACTGGTACCTATCAGAGGTAGTGGTACGCTACCAGTGGTACTGGTACGCTACCACTACTCACTGGTAGCCTACCAGTGCGAGTGGTACGAACCAGTGGTACTGGTACGCTATCAGTGGTAGTGGTACGCTACCAGTGGTATTGGTACGCTACCACTACTCACTGGTATCGTACCAGTACCACTAGTAGAGTACCAGTACCACTGATAGAGTACCAGTACGGCAGTACCACTGTACGCTATATGAAAATCACTACTACTAGCGCACTCACTAAGTTGTACTTTTTTGCAAGTGGCCGGACTGAGTCTAACTGAAGGTTGTCACCGGAAAAAAGTCTGTCGGTCGGAGTAAGTTTGGCGGTAGGAGCGAAGAGGCTGCTGGAAAAAGTAGAGAGATAGAGAGAGATATAAGTGTATTAATTGTAGGGTTTTTTAAAAAAGGCATGTATTTAATATGAGTTTTTAATTCCCAATATGTAATTAATACAAAAAATAATAATTAATAAATTTATTTTTTTGTTATACCCAAATTACCCTTGGTTTTGAATCTCACAACCCCTAAGGGGAAGTGACCGTATCCCAGCTCTATGTCAGGTCATATGTTCATCAATATAATTGTTTTGCTGAATAAGAATGCCTTATATTGACCTTTCATTTTTATACCAAGAAAGTAAGAAAATAGATCAAGTTTTTTCAAGTAAAAAGCAGTCTGGAACCCGTTTGTGAGGCATTGAATTCCCTCACTGTCATCCTTTATTACGATCATACCATTCACATAAATTAATAAAATCACAATACTCAATTGGAGCGAATTGTAACAGTGATTGCTCGTTCAAACCTTTGAGCTTTATAGTTTATACAAAACGGTCACCAAAAGTTTAGTTTGTAATGACACTGTAACAAAAGTTTGAACTTGTATGAAATGGTCACTCTGTTTAATTTGTGACCATTTTGTTCTAAGTACAAAGTTTTGTTATCGAATCGTTACAAATTAAAGATTTGTTAGCCAAACATTTTTTCAGATTCTTTTTTATTAGCCAAACCTATCGAAATACTAAGAATTAGCCAAATATTAACTTCCAGTTAGCAATTTTGTTTGTATTATTAACTTGGAAGAGACACATTAAGGTCAACATTCCAAATTTTAGTTTAATTAAGAAAAGAGTTACAAAATTATAAACAATAACATAAAAAATAGCTAATATTTTGATTAATTAAGAAAGATTTGAATAATTAATAGCATTTTAATAGGTTCGGATAATATAAAAAATCTGAAGAATGTTTGGATAAAAAATAAACGTTACTCTAGAAAAAACCGGGGTCATTATCATAAACGGTCACAAACCTTTGTACTTAGTACAAAACGATCACAAATCTTTAATTTGTAACGATACGGTAACAAAAGTTTGAAATTGTATAAAACGATCACTTCTATTTAATTTGTGATCGTTTTGTACTAGTTGCAAAGGTTTGTTATAGAGTCGTTACAAATTAAATGTATTTGCCCGTTTTGAGGCCGGGTCGAGTGTTCGTCAAGTATATGACACTAACAACTTGAACACATACAATATGTCGGGTCGTATGTTCATCAATATACTTGTTTTGCCGAATAAGAATGCCCTATATTGGCCTTTCAATTTTGATACCAAGAAAGTAAGAAAATAGATAGAGTTTTTTCAAGTAACAAGCAGTCTAGAACCCGTTTGTGAGGCATTGAATTCCCTCACTGTCATCCTTTATTACGATCATACCATTCACATAAATTAATAAAACCACAATACCTCAATTGGAGCGAATTGTAACAGTGATTGCTCCTTCAAACCTTTGAACTTTTCCCATAAAAAAACCTTTGAACTTTATAGTTTATACAAAACGGTCACCAAAAGTTTAGTTTGTAACGATACGGTAACAAAAGTTTGAACTTGTATGAAATGGTCACTCTGTTTAATTCGTGACCGTTTTGTTCTAAGTACAAAGTTTTGTTATCCAATAATTACAAATTAAAGATTTGTAACTGGTTTGTACTAAGTGCAAAAGTTTGTGACCATTTATAATTACCCTATATAACCGCCGCCGCAGCGCCTGGCCTGGCTAGTAGCCCCCTCCGTCCGATGAATGGCCAGGCTGCGCTAGTGTTGAGAATGAAGGAGAAGGAAATTCATTCATAGCCGCTCTTCTTGGCAGCGACAACGCGAACTACAATGCCGTCGCTGGATTTTTGAGGGATTGGCTACTGCCTTCGAGTGTTGTCGTCGTCTTCAAGGATAAGAAATAGTAAGGTGTTTCAGTTCTTAATTAGGGTTTAGTGTGACAAAAATGGAGTTGCAAATCAAGGTAGCGCAGGCTGTTCAAGTTCTGAATCACGACGCCCAGTCCTGCAACCGGGTGGCTGCTAATCAGTGGCTCGTTCAGTTTCAGCAGACCGGCTGTGCTTGGGAGGTTGCGACTTCCATCCTCACCACCGATCACCTTCACCGTCATATTCCTTCTCTGGTCTCCAATTCAGAAGTCGAGTTCTTTGCCGCCCAGATTCTGAAACGAAAGGTTCGTACCTTAATTGCTGTCCCTCTTGCTGTCCCTCTCCATTCCGTCATTTACTCTCTGTATTCAGTACACACACGGTTTTGTTCCATTCTCAGTCTACAGCCGTGAACATGTCAAACTCTTACTGTAAGCCTTGAACATGCTCAACTGGTTTCCGCTCCAGTTTCATGTTTGAAGGCTTAGCCGATAAATCAAGCTTCATTATGTTTTTCCCTAAACCCCAAAACACCCGTATAAATGGGCGAGGGATTAGTTAGTACAAAAGCCTCTCAAAGTACTCTGGCTTTGGTCTCCGATAACAACACCTCTCTCAAATGCCATACTGTCCTTTGTTTAACACCTCTCGCTTTTACTATCATTTGTTCGTCTCTGACTTTTTGTTCTCTTTCTGTCTCTCACTTCCGCCCATCTTTAGTTGTCTGCCCCGCAGCAACGCCAATTTCAGGATTGGTTCTTGATTTCTTTGCGTTGCTTATGAGCTTATTCATCACATGTTGTCAAGTTTGCTTGGGATGATTGATTTTGGTCCATGATTGATTTGACATGCATGGAGTTGGCTGATATGAAATACAGAAAGGATCAAAGGACTGATGCATGTGGTACTTTTCTGTTTACATAAGTAATCAGGACTGCCTGCTTATTGCTCCATTGTTGTCCTCATCCAGTATAAACTTGGAAGTCACACTTACATGTTACTGAATATTATTCATGCTACAGATCCATAGCGAAGGACATTACTTACAATCTGGGCCTAAACATGCTCTGCTGAATGCTCTACTTTTGGCTGCAAAAAGATTTAGTGCTGGTCCTCCCCAGGTGCTTGAACTATTCCTTTCTAAAATGCATTAGGGTTGTTGGTTCAGGGAGGATGCTATTTCTGTTCTTAAACTTTCACTAATTGAAGTCATTGTTGGCAAGTTAACAATGGGATATCCTTGTATTCTGCTTATTGATGTGTATATTCACTTTTTGAACGGGTCTTCTGCTTGTTGATGTGCCTAACTGATTTGTACTTTTTGTGTTGCAGCTTTTAACACAAATATGTCTTGCACTTGCTGCCCTTATTCTTTCTTCTGTCGACGATAAGAAACCCATCGAGCAGCTATTTTACAGTCTGCAGACTCTGCAGAATGACGATGATGGTAATGTTGCTGTTTTGGAGATGCTCACTGTTCTTCCAGAAGAAGTTGCTGACACGCGAAGTACTGATAGTAGTATAAGTTTATTCCAAAGAAGCCAATATGGCCAAGAGGTTAGGTCTTTCTTTCTCTTTTCTAGTCCCTTCCTATTCGCTACCTTCCATATTTCATCTCATGAATCTCAATACACTCTATTAAATCCATAAACTAAACTCTTGGAACAGCTTCTTTCACGCACTCCTATGGTACTCGAGTTTTTGCTGGAACAAACTTTGAAGAAGTACAACGGTATTGTCCAACTACATGAGAGGGATAGGAAGATTCTTCGTTGCTTGCTAAGTTGGGTAAGACAGCACCACCATTGCTATCCACAATTTCTATTTCAGAGAATGTCTTTGTTGCTATGGACCACAGTCTTCATATAGTATTATGGCTTGAATTTCTTGTTCTCAGGTGCGAGCTGGATGCTTCTCAGATATTTCACAGGACTCATTACCGACACATCCGCTTCTTAATTTTGTCTTCAACTCTTTACAGGTAAATTACTCAAAGGTCAACTTGAAGCATTTTCAGTGTCCTTCATACCCAAAATTTTTACCTATGCTTGCAGGTTTCATCCTCATTTGATTTAGCAATTGAAGTCCTCATAGAGCTTGCAAGTCGGCATGAGGTATACCTCTTTTTAAACAAGCAACTGTGCTCCACTTAACTTATCCTTTTTTATTAAGTTATGTTAGAAAGGTCTTGTATCAATCCATGGTCTGCTAATGCTGGCAAAACTCAAAACTATAACTTTTTTCTTTGGATCATAGTGAATACATGTATACTTAATAAGGAAAATATCCTCTGAGCTTGATAAAAAAACAAGGCGGGTTATGGCACCATCAAATGAAGGCATACATTGAAGTGGAGACCAAAAGGATAGCTTCCGTGACTTTCATGCACTTCCTTCCTCCAATATACATAGGCATCTCTTCCATATCCAAAACTGATATCTAGTATCTATTTTTCCTAAACCCTCTGTATCTCTATTGGATGATAGTGATTCATGCATAGTTATGATGTGAGACAAGTTCCATTCGTTCCCTGGTGACCGTTTCCTCAGTTTTATGTGTGAGGGATTGAAGTTTGAACTTTGATTATGAGAAAATTAATGATTTATTAAGTGAGGGTCTTTGTCCATTTGTTGATTTGTTGTAGAAGCTTGCACAGTATTGTGTGTGGAGATCATGTGATGGTTTCAATTTTATATATGGGAGGACTGGATGGGGACACTGAATGATTGACATCTCCTATAATTTTGCCTTGTTTATGTCGTTCCAATTGGGAAAGCTTTAGAAGTAGTATAGCAAAATTTCCTGATTTTTAGCTGTTATTTGCTGGTAGAAGTGGAAAGGTTAGCTATGGTAGCAGTTCTAAGAAACTGATCAGAGCCCTTGAAGCTCTGTCAGCTCCATCACTGTATAATATATGAGGATCTCAAGGAGTGATCTTTAATATATGGTGCTGCTGAAAATATTGTTGACATATGAGATTAACTTGCCAACTTCTATGTTTCTGTTTTAGTTTTTCTCTGGCCTTCATAATTGAAAGAATGTAAAATAAATGGGCTGGTGTCAACATTGACGTGCTTTATTGTTGTCTATTATTTTACCCATAATGCGCCTGGGAATTCTTGTATGGTCTTCGTTATGTAAACTTCTGCACATGGACGGAACGAATTGGTGATTTGTTGTGTTGCTGAAAGGCGCCCTGAATGAAAGAACTGGGTCTTTTACAATCTGTGATTGTTAGGACATGTGTGTTTTGAGGAACTATGCATTTGAAATAACCAGATTGTTTAGTTCAGTTTACTGTAAGAGTACATCCTTTGGATATTGTGATTATGAATTCGAATCTAATTTGTTGGGGTCAATGAGCAAATTTTGAGGCAGATGATTTGTCAATTCAGAATAATGAATAATATTGAAAATCGTCATCCTATTTGAAATGCATGCGTTCTTAGAATACATAATCTCAAATCTCAGGTTCAATACGCCCCCAAAATCACTGACACGTGTAACTTCCATTTGTCATATTAACAACACTCCTCTGAATCAATTTTTCGGATACAAGTGCACATACCCAAATATATGCCTGTTGGATGTGACATAAATGGATAACCTGCTTTCTCTCTTCTCTTTAGGGACTACAACAGATTCTGTTATACAGAATTCATTTTCTTAAGGATGTGCTTCTTCTTTCTGCTATTAATAATGGGGATGAGAAAGTGATTAGTGGTCTTGCATGCTTGATGTCAGAAATTGGACAGGCGGTAACTATTTCTTGCCATTTCATTTGTTTCAACTTATGCACCCCATTCTTGACAACTAAATAATAAGGCCCCTACACATCCTTTTTCTCGTTGGTTTACCATAGGCTCCATCTCTCATTGTTGAGGCTAGTGTTGAGGCTCTAGCGTTGGCTGATGGACTATTAAGGTAATATGTTAGATTGGGAACTTCCTATGGATTCTGTACTTCCCAATTTTTTGTCAATATCTGGAGTGATTGCTATCAAGTAAACTAAATATGCGTTGGGTTTGTTATGTGCCTGATTATCTGCGTGGAGTTTGCTTAATGGGTGTATTACATGACTTCTAGCTGGGATATTCTTGCAATCAGCTGTTAGGGAGTGTAAGTTAATGCTACAGCAATTGACCACTATATGCTTTTGATACTTTCAGTAATTCATGTGAAAGGGTTCTTTGCATGATGCTTCTTGTTCCAGATTATGTTTTGCTGCTTCTTATCAGTTGGTTACTGCAGGTGTGTGGGATATCCAAGTGAAGACTGGGAAATTGCAGATTCAACATTGCAATTCTGGTATAAATTATGTTCTACTTATGCTTATTGCAACACTTGGTGTCCCGTGTTTGTTCAGAAATCCTATGTATGTGATTAGCTGAATATGTTCTATGGGTTATCACTGTTTTATTTATGCAAGTTTTTGATTTGGATAAACCTGGGGATCAGGTTGGATTGGCCCTTTCCATGATAGCTTGATAATAGTGCTACACACTGTTGCACCCACTTTCCCCCCTGTGACTTGGGGAAAACAATCCGACTTGTACCCCTTCTGAGTCCCGCACAATTAGTAAATTTGCATAACTTTTCCCGATTGGGACCCGTGGATGATGGCCGCTCGTTCAATCAGAACTCCAAAAATATTTAATTGTCCCTCCATTTCTTATCCCCTATATATGAATACTATCGTTGTTTTGGATGCTGGATATGACTTTTTGCCTCTACAAAGTTTGACTTTTGTGCACCACTTGGGGCTTTAGTAATGTAAAGATAGTTTTTTGTTTCCGTCTCTGGCTGTCTATTGATTATTGAATTCTTTTGGATAGTTTGTGTGGGACGATATGGCGAGTGTATCATGCTTCTATCTAGAGCATGACCTATCGATTGAAACAGCATCACTCAATTGTGCTCATAAAAAGAATGCTGAATCGTTCATCCTTCATACTGTTCTATCATGCTATATGACAATGGAAATATTATTATTTGTATGATTTGTATTTGGTGAGTTGCTTTGAGACAATGCTTTTCACTGTCATGGTATTTGTAACTCTGAGCTTGTTTTACAGGTCTAGCCTTGCAAGCTATATACTTGGCCTTGATGCTAGTGGTGCGGTAGACAAGAAACATGTGGAAGCCATTTTCTCCTCCATCTTCTTAACATTGGTTGATGCACTTTTATTGCGAGCCCAGGTTTGATTTTGATCATCAATTTCCCTTGTTTTTTTCTTCTGTCTTTCTAGTCCTTTACCATCCTCCACCATTAATATATGGAGGTTCTTCATCAGAAAATACTTCATTAAGAATCTTAAGGCCTATGAGAGAACTAGTAAGGAAACCTTTGTCATTTTAGTGAAATACAAAATTATTTTTATGATATTAGTCGGTTAGAATATTTTAAGAAGTTACTAGTCGGGTAGAATTATTGTTTGGTTATTATAATTAGGGGTTAGTGGAGCCGTAGAGGATGTCACCGAATTAGTGGCAAGTATTGTCATTTATCACCAGGATTGTTATTAGTTTCAGGAGTAGTTTAGTAAATTGGCATTATTATCAAGTTTGACATACTTCTCTAAATGGTAAGGATATTTTATTTTCAACGGACTATATCGTACTCTGCTAATCTGTTCATTCTCTAGTGTTTTGGTAGAAATTCCCACACACTGCTAATCTTTTCATTCTCTAGTGTTTTTGGTAGAAATTCCCACACATTCTTTCATGAAAAAAACATGCATATTAATTCTGAACATGCAAGGGATGCCTTTGGGGTAGAGGTGGCAAATGGATTGGATTGGTGGATTGGTGGATTGGATTGGTGGATCCATGGATCAAATGGATTGGATCTAATGGATTGGTGGATTCATGGATTGGATAAGTGGATTGGTGGATTATCCATGAATCCAAATGACATCCTCAACCAAGGACCAATATGTAAAATGTAAAAAGTTTAGGTACTAAAATGTCATAATGAAAAATTTTAGGTACCAAAACGTAATTTTCCAATGATATTTTCGTATAAAAAATTAAATTTTAGGTACCAAAATGTAAAAAATAAAAATTATAGGTACTAAACCGTAATTTGCCAATGATCCATGGATCCAATCCATGAATCCATCAATCCAATTGGATTTGGATAAAATGCATTGGATTTAAATGGATTGGATTAGGTAGATATTTTTAATGGATTGATGGATTGGATTGGTGGATTGGATTGAAATTGCCACCTCTACTTTGGGGTGTTTATGCCAGGAAGTTAAGGGAAGGCAAAAGGGAGAACAAATATACTTATAGTGGCTGTAAGTATGTTGAGAACATTAGAGAAACTATGCAACCTAAGTATAGACTGGATTCAGTTCCGTGTCCTTCCTCTGCTCTCCTCCTTTATACTCATACAGGTTTTGTAGGGGTGTTCAGTCTAACTATGCCAATGTATAAATGTGTCAGGTGGCCACTTACGGTATATGTAAGTGCTAACTGTTTCCATTCCCATGGAAATGATTTAACCTCAACAAACTTAAGAGTCCCGTTTGGTAATGAGGCTTCTGGAAATGGCCAATGGTTGCTTTAAGTGAATATAACTGCAGGCATAAACTATGAAATAAGGTGTATTTAGGATAAAATATTCAATTAAGTTCTTGTTTGCTATGTTCACTGTGTTGGAACTTTGCCTCTAGCAGGTTGACGAAGCAACATTTAATGACCGGAGTGGTGTTCTTGAACTACCTGATGGTCTTGTCCATTTCAGGATGAATCTTGTTGAACTTATGGTGGACATGTGCCAGCTTGTAAGACCTCCCCGATTTGTACAAAAGGTGCTTGGTTCACTTATTGGAAGATATGCATGTAGTTTTATTTGATGACAGTAGCTAGCTTAGTACATTTATTTTTTGAATGGGATTTTAAAGGTTTGGATGATCTGCTTAATTATTCCAAGCGCCCAGATGGTTGACCTAGTAGAGAAGAAAAATAATTCCTCATTCGTGTTCCTTAGATATGTTCAGTTCCACTTGCTATGCTTTCCATTGAAATTTTAAATGGTTTACTCAGACTTGCTGCATTTTTATAGACGCTTAGTTCTTAAAATTCTAGGAAGCTTTTGAACCCAGACTATAGAAGGAACTCTCAGAGTCTTGCTTAGTGATGTACTTGATAAGCAGGTTTCTACTTTGGAGATTGCTTTCGTATAGTTTCTCTGTTACAGTGATCTCTTAATGGTTCACCATGATATTTTGTCAAATAGATGGAGTTTCATAACATGTTGAATCTTTCCATGTCCATCTCATTGCTCTCACTCTTCGTGCTTCTCTGCAAATGGGATTCTTTCAAATGCATAAAGCTTTCTGATTCAGATACCTTCCGCATATAACTCAACATTCTTACTAATTATATAAATCTTCTGTAGCTCCTTTTTGGTGCCTGGCCACCAGCAAATGTACCAATTCCTTGGAAAGAGGTGGAAACTAAATTGTTTGCTCTTAATGTGGTAAGTCCAATTTATACCAATTGGTAATTTTTGGTCATGTTTTCAATTAGTTTTGCTGAGTGCCTATTATTTTAAATTCGTAATTTTGGAGTGGATTGAATAAATTCGTAAGTTTTCAATTAGTTTTGCTCTTTCAAATGCATGAATGGAGTGGATTGAATAAACGGGCCTGTTATTTCTTCTTAATTATTTCAGTATAATTTCCAAGAGGGTATTTCATTGTTTAAATAAGAGATGTCTCTCCTACAACAAATCAAATGCAAGGAGCATTATCACTCTAATCATGATCATATGTTCTTGCACCCAATGGCATCCCCTGACACCTCTTAATACACAATGAGAAAAATGAAGTTCTGAAAAGGGCTTAATAACTTAATATCACTCCTCCTGGCGCATAACAACACTGACACCCCTGCCTTTAGTTTTACATTTGATGTTCATACCGATGACTTTGGCTAAAGCCAAAGAGAAACCCACTACTACAAAAACTCGTTACCGTAAATGCATAGTAGAGGTGCTTCATCGTCATCTAGAAAAGTCTTGAAGTTTATGATTGACTTTGTTCTTGGTTCTGATCACCTATTCAATACTCAGGTTTGCAACCTCATCCGTTGGCCACATTTGACTGTTTTGTTTTTGATAATTTTGTTGTAAATTGAGATAATGGTATGCATCTTTATTTATATCCCAATCATTGGGTGTAGAACTAAGCTAAATTATATCTTACCAATATATACAATGGTAAAATTACCATTAGTTTTACTTTGGTTCGGATGGACTGTTCTATGAGCATATACATTTCTTATATGGAAGTGTGCTCTGTGTGGTTTATTCGTCATGTATAAATGCCCGACCTCTTTGTTTTCATTTCATATGAGCATGGAGTGTGATAAAGGAGCTCATTGTGGTTCTGCCACAAAGAGTTTTGGTTGGTTAAGCCCCTTGTGCATTCAGATTTTTATTTGATGTAGAATTGATCCTAATGTTGTGAATTTCCTTGTTTGGGACTTTATTTTGATGATTTGTATTCTAAGTCAAAAGTGACCATGACCTACCCTTCTAGACCAGCTTAAATGATTACCACCGAATGCTTAAGGAGAATTCTGGGTCATTCTGGGTCTGGCTCTCTGGCTTTAATCTGGTACAGATCAGGTGGGCTGCCTGGTTGGCACCTTGATGGAAGTTCTAGCGGATTGTTGAATTTTATTAGTCCTTTTAATGCTAATTCTACTAGTTAATGGAGTCTAACTTCTGTCTTTACAGAGGTTTAGCTTCATGAAGGCCGGTACCACTGTAGAGGTTGCCTTGTATCACTTTCATCCATTTCACTTATGTCCCATCCTTTTTTGTTTCCCTATCTTCCATCTAGTACCTGAAGCTCTCTGCGATCGCTAGTCCGTACCTGTCTATAGGCTGTGCATTTACCTATGTTTTCCTATCACAGTTTCGTGCTGAGGAATATTTGGTCTTCAGCGAGTATGGTCATGGAACATTCTGTACACATGCATCTGCAATTTCTCATCCTCTGTTATATGTATGGGGCATCATAAACTCTAAGTTGTTATCCTGTCTGTGAATGTGTTTCCTCCCTCAGACACGGGTGCATCCTGTTACGTCCTGGCTGGCTCAATGTATTCTATTTTACTTGATCTTTTATGTTCTGTAAAAAGACTTCTCAAAACCTTCGCATCTGATTTCTCCCACTGCGTGGTACTTGGCCATTGTTCAGACCTTTACACCTTAACTTAATATTATTATTGCAACCAACTCTGCATCACAACCATCCACAATTGTGTCAATTCTCTAATCTAATGGGATGCAATGCTTCATTTCCAGGTTTCTGAAGTAGTCTTGTTGGAAGGCCAGATGTTTGATATCTCTTCCATCATGCAATTAGTCACGATGTTATCCACTTGGCCTGTAGATGACCTCAGTGGATTCATGGGCGTGGTAAGACTGCTCTTCATGGCGAACTCTGTAGAGGAGTGTAAATTAGTTAGCCAGTTATCCACTTTAAAACACATTTGATATTAAGTCCAGGACATCAATAATGAGCTTTCTTCTTGTTGTTGGCTGATTCTTGGTTTCGGTTTAGGTACGCAGATCACTAACAGATGTTGTTGGTTCCTACTCCAAGTGGATATCTGCTTCTCCAGCTAATTCCAGACCCTTGCTGTAAGGATCAGAAGCTCAATATTGAAATAACATAATATGTTGAGCATTTGTTTCACTTTCTAGCCGTGAAGAAATTGTAATGGGTGCCTTTAGTTTCTCTAGTGACCCTTATACTGTTCAGACTTTCCCCCCTCATTATATTTTTGTCCAGCTCCACTAGTTTGTCTCTTTATATTCATCTCTGTCCTGGTTTCTTCCTTTGTGTTTGGTTTTATACTCATTTGCAGCTTTCAGATTATTTCTTGCTGCAGGGATTTCAGAGAATCATTCCTCAACTGCTTGTACATCTGCCCTACGTAGATTTTGTGAAGAATCTTCACATGTAATTTATGAACCTGCGAATTTGGAAATACTTTTATGGGTAGGAGAGGTAAATGGTTCATTAAACTATACTTTACTTACTGGCTCACTTCCCTTTGTGTTTCCTTCTTTACCTTATCCAAACGCATTAGATTTTTAAATTGTGACTCATGAATGGTTTCTCTCATTAGTAACCACTTATACACATGGATGTTAATGTTTGGACATGTATTTTTCTAATTGCTATGGTTCTGCGTATATATCTGTAAAGATATCTTCTGACTTGGAAGTAGTCTTTTCTATTGTATCTTCGACAAGCCTGACAATGTTTGTGTCGTCTAAGATGATAAAACTTTGTATGAAAATTATCTGCAAGATTATTTTTGGGTAATGTCTATTTTTTATCCAAATCTTTTTTCAGATTCTTTTATATTATCCAAACCTATTAAAATACTAAGAATTAGCCAAATGTTAACTTCCAGTTAGCAATTTAGTTAGTAATATTGACTTGACAACATGCTACTTACTTGGAAGAGTTAACTTCTAGTTAGCAATTTAGTTAGTAATATTGACTTGACAACATGCTACTTACTTGGAAGAGATACACGAAGGTCGCATTCCAAAATTTTAGTATTTTAACTAAGAAAAGAGTTACAAAATTATCAACGATAACGTAAAAATGACTAATATTTTGATGCATTACGAAAGATTTGGCTAATTAATAGCATTTCAATAGGTTTTGATAATAGAAAAGAATATGAAAACGGTTAGGATATAAAATAGACATTACCCATTATTTTTTAAGGACAGGATGTTGCTAGTTCGGAAAGTGACCCTAGGGGTGTGGTAGAGCATACACGTGAGAGGTTATCTATGTTCCTTTTATGAGGTCTAGACACCTTCTTTTGTTTCTTACTTCCGTTTCCTTTTCATATCCCCTGCCTCCACTTCTATCTCAATTCATCCTTGTATGCCTGTAAACTCACTATCCAACCTTCTGTTGGTTTGTAATTGTTGATCATTTCATGTTACAGGCTTTGGAGAAGAGGCACATACCTTTAGATGATGAAGAAGAAGTAATAAGTGCAATAAGCTCAATCCTTGGTTCCGTACCAAATGAAGAACTAAAGTACAACTTGTTGGCTAGATTGCTCTCCTCGAGCTATGATGCCTTAAGAAAACTTGTGAGTATGTTTTCCTGCCTGCACTATGGCATTTATATTTCATTTGGTACTATAATGATGGCTAAAGAAGGAGATTCTCGTTGCAATTACCTTGTGTCCAGCAGCTGCTTCATCAGATTTGTTTCCTGAATCCTGATTTTTCTTCTAATTGAATTTTCTAACTTTCATCGGTTTGCTTGCACGAAGGAAACAAATCTATTTGGTTGTGAAGTCGGCCTCTTTTTGAAGTATTTCCCTTTTAGAGTTGGTTAAAATATGCACTGCCGGTGCTAGAAATTATTTTCTTATTACTCAATTCAATGATTACAAGTCGTTATTTGTACTTATGCTTATGCATACTAGAAAGCATTTTCATATTTATGAATGCAAGTTGATGTTCTAATATGGATACGGATACTGTGGGGAGTTCAAACCATAAGTCTGAACCTGATGCCCTTACCTAGTATGGTGATGCGCATCCCATAAGCTTCTGGCAAGACCTCTTTTTCTCTGGTCAAGAATTCTCGGCCTTCAGCTGTGGGCCTGTGGCCAGGGCGTAGAGTTCTTGCCAGAAGCTAAGGCTCCTATAAACCTCAATACCTCGTAGAGGATCAAGGATATTGGCCAAAAACCTCGGATTGAGGTCAAGGCTATGATCTGACAAAGGCACGACGAACTTTGCAGAGGTCCTAAGTCAAGAGCCAAAATCGTCAGCTGAGGTGTTGTGTGCTTTGTAGAAAAAATATGAGTGGAGGGCCTAGGACAAGGGTCCAAAAAGCCTTGGCCGAGCAAGGGATGAGGTCAGGGCCTGGAAACCCCTTGTAAGCTGTATGTTCCATGCCTGTTTGAGTCATGAGAGTAGCATCTCAAATATTTCTTTTCTGTGTCATATCGTCTTAACTTTTGTATTATCTTTCGTTCAGTGGAGTTTTGACTGTTAAAATGACATACAGATTGTTACCAAAGATGGTAAATAGTTGAATAAAGTGAAATTATCATGACAAATCCGTCCATCAGCTATGATAAACTTGTATACTATGTGAGTATGTGTATAGGCCACATACGAACAGCGTCTTGGCCGTCTTTATTCACCCTTCTTTATTCACCCTTATCACGTCAAAGGAACTCGATACACGGCTTGTCAGACTGGAACTGGGAAATTCTGTAACCTGTCAGATTTCGTAGTTGCCTATTAAAACTGATGTTTTACTATTTTGCTTACAAGCGGAAATCCCCTATGATTGTAAAGCAGAGGATACGTGATGATTGTATTTATTAACCATTGAGTAACTGAACTTATCCTGTCTTTTGTCATATCCTATAGTGGCCACAGCTGGCTTGTTCCTATTTGCTTTAGATGATCTCTTAAAGTGCAATTGACTATTTTTGCGGCATTTAGTTTCCCCTTGTGAAGCTACTAAGAAAGCTCCCTCTTGTTTCAGATTAATGAAGATGGTGAACATTCTTATAGACAAAATCCAGCTACTTATACTCAGCTTTTGAATGGAGCAGCGAGAGGATTACATAGGTATGTTACTTAGTCAGAAACGCTGGGCTAGTTATCTGTAATTAATTGGACAATACAATGGTTTCTTGCTGGATCGCACTGACAAATTGAATTGCTTGGGCTTCTAAGTATTTGCTTTGCATAGACCTTATCCCTAAAGTTTTTTCTTTCAGTAGAGTTGCTTTTCCTGTATGTGGTTTCATGATTGGCACAATCTGTTGTACTAATTTTCCTCGGGCCTAATCTGTTTTGCATATTTACAGAATAGGAATTGTATTTGCTCAACTTGCAATGTCAAAACCCAATGGGCCCGCTACAGATGACCCTTCAATAAGGTTGCTACGGGTGTTCTGGCCCATGTTGGAGAAGATTTTCAGATCCGAATACATGGAAAACAGTAACTTGTCTGCGGCAGCTTGTCGTGCGCTTTCCCTTGCAATTCAATCTTCTGGTAATAGGACGATATGTTGTATTCAAGTCTGGCACCATGTTTCTTTCTTCTCAAAGATTAGTATTTTACTGTTTCTTTGGCATTTTTGCAGGGCAACAGTTTCTAGTTCTACTGCCGAGTGTTTTAGATTGCCTGTCGACCAATTTTCTGGCCTTCCAAAATCATGAATGTTACATTAGGACAGGTAAGTCATTTGGCAACTCAGAATCATTTAAGAATAGTGACATAGACGAAACCTGAAAGGGTTAGGGTTCATAGCATGAGAAGGAAGTAGGAATGTTAGGGTTCTGTTTCAAGATAGTTGCTAGATGGCATCTCCAATCCTAGGGCAAGACTCACTTGAGAATCCACAAAAAGAAATAGGAAAATAATCTAAATCCTCTGCATATTCTAGGATCTCTTGTAGAATCTTCCTTATACGAGAGGTACAAGCTTTGTCATAAAAGAACCTAATTCTTGAACAATCCTCATTAAGTACTATTTCCCCTATAAAGGAATTTAACTTTGCACACCATATTTCTTACAGACTCAAATGAACTAAGAAATAGAAAAGAACAAAAGAGTACCGGGTCGTTTGGATGCAGCATTTGGATGAGTTATTTGGGCTGAAATATTGACAAACAAAAAATGGGTTGTGGTATGTTGAATCCCGCGACAATTGAAATGATGCATAATGAGTCAATTGAAATACCTCCTCCCCACTAGACATTTCAATTAACTTGCTGTCAGAAACACATTTATTTGGGCTTTCTATTATTATATTAGGTAGGATAATTATAATTATGGTTAGTAGAGATATAGTCGAATTAGGATTAATATTAGGGTTTTCTCGTATTATCCCTATAAATATGTACTGGGGGTTTAAGTCATAATAAGTCAAGAAGAATATTAAGAAGAATCTCCTAAACCCTAGTTTAGCCTCTCAACTCCTAATTTCTATTCTCAACCAATCCAAGGCTTCGGCCGATTTCCAATTATATTCTGTTCTTTCTGAACTAAATCCCCTCAAATCCCTATTCGTTACAAGTAATCGCGGGTGTCGAAGATCAGTCCCTAGAAGCCCTAAGAAGTGGGTTTCTAACAATTGGTATCAGATCCCGGTTGCAGGCCACCATATCAGAATCATGTCGAGCTCTCAAGAACACGAATCGGAGGAAGCTGATCGAAGACGATTCGCGGAAATAAAACAATTGTTGACGCAGTTGGCATCGTTCGACGACGATGAAGATGACTGGTGGGACGACGAGGTCCCGGTGGCAGTAATCAAAGCACCACATTTGACCGAGATTGAGGCTGAGCTGATGGACGATGACAACATTGTGCAGGCAGAGGAAGAAATAGCCTCGAGTGAGCTGTCACGGCAGGAGAAAGAAGCAGTAGTGGCGGCGGTGATCGAGATGAAGGAAGAGTCGCCACCGAAACAGAAGAGGAAGAACAAGAAACGCGGCGGCGGTGGAATCCTCCACTCACCATCGGGAAGAGTAACGACGAAGGTGGCGAGATTCGCGCTCGGGAAGAAGGTTTTGACGATGGGTCGCGCGCCGAACCGGCGATTACGAAAGAAGAAGTCGGCCGAGACGTTAGGCAACAGAGCCGAGAGGGTGACCCGCCATGGGCTTGACGAGCCTGAGTTGCGCCTCGCGCATTTGACGTCGCGATCGGTGACCACGCTAGCCACGACGAACACATGGAAAACCGACGGTGGGTTGTGGCTGGAGACGAGGAGAGTCGGATCGAACTTGTCTCACGGCCGTCTGGCGATCTCGTCGTTTGATAGAACCCGGTTCTAGAATTCTATCGGAAATAGGGATTTACGGATTAAGAACAAAATTAGGGATTTGAGAGGAGAAAGATAGAGAATCAGCCTAAGCCTTTAGAGGGATTGGGAACGAGAATTGAGAGGATTGGGGGAATAGGGTTTAGGAGATTGTTTTCTTAATATTCTTCTTATTGATTCTGAATGAATAGGCCTAGTACATATTTATAGCGAATATAGGGAAACCCTACTAATAAACCTAATTCTACTAGAATACTACTAACCATAATAAGAATTACCCTATTAGTAGTAATAATAATAATAATAAATGTAGAAACCCTAATGAAGTTGGTTTCCATCATCTCCTCCCCTTCAAGCCAACCTTATCCTCAAGGTTGACTGATTCGACCCATTTCTTCATCCTATCTCCCGTGTAAATCACGCCTTGTCTCCTCTACTTCTTGCGCTTCCTTTTCTTTCAATCATGCTCCATCTTTTGAATTGGGCTTCTTCAACCGACCTTCTCGTGTTGATGTAATTCTTCGGCTTTCACTTCCATGGGCTCCCTAATTGCTTCTTTGATAATTTCGAACTTCAACAACTCCTCTTTTGTTGGCATCATAGTCAAGTCACTTAAACAATTCAAGGGTATTTTATTGCACAAGAACTTATCCTTAAATACCAACTCGTCAAAGCCCTTAAAAATCTCCCTTGAAACCAACTCACTTGATTTGTTGCTTCTCCACCTACCTTTGGGCTATGTTCTTTAAGAAGGCCATATTGCAACTCAATGAACCCATTTTCTTTTTCCTTCTTCAAAACCCAGATCATGTTGGGCTCAAAACCCAGAAACCCTAATGAAGTTGGTTTCCATCATTGTCAGTGTACGGGGTTGAGCTGAATAAGGCGGCGGGGTCGAACTGGCCTCGTGATCGGCGAGTAGTGCAGCCAGAGAAGGAGTCGAGGAAGAAGGAAGCTGTACACGGCGGCGGCGGCGGCGATACCCTGCTGCTCTAATACGAACAACTTCTCTTCCCTTCCCACGAACACCAGAAGCTGCAAAGGGGAGTGGGCCAAGGGATGGCCGCTGCTAACCCTAGGCCAGAGAAGCTTTGTTGGTTGGGCCGAGGGAGGTAGGCAGGCCCAACTAACATGGGCCATCGGCTGGATTGTGAGAAGAGGGGCGCTGGTCTCTCTTTGTACCAGCGGAGTGGGTCAAGATTCAAGGGAGGAATTGGGCTTCAGAGGAGCCCACTGCTTAGGTCTCTCTTGTATGGTTGTGGGCCAAGATTGGAAGAAATAGAGCCCAACAGGAGTTGTCTTTTGAAGTGGGTCAACTTGAAAGAAAAGAAAGAAGATAACATGGGCTTATTAAGTTGGCTTTTCGAGGAGCCAAGCCCAAACGAAAATGAAAGGAAGAAGAGGGCAGAAGAGCTTCAAATTGGTTTGAGCCATAATTCTTTCTTTCAAGTTATTGTGGGCCGAACCAAGGGAGATGGAAAAGGAAGTTGGGAGCAGTTCGTCTACACCTCCAAGCACTTGGTAGAATCACTTGCGCAATTCATTGAGGGGTCGTTTGGATGGATCAATTGTAAAACGAGACAGTTTGACCAATTGTTTCATTTTACAAAACGAGTCATTTAAAACGAGTCAATTCAGATTACCTGCCCCCACCCCAGACAATTGTAATTGGCTCAAAATGAGTCAATTCAGAATTCCCCAGCCCAAATTGCTTCATCCAAATTTTCTGCTGCCAAACGGATCAATCTAGCACAATTGACTCAAAACGAGACAATTGTGTCAGATTGATCCATTAGAATTCCTCATCCAAACGACCCCGGAATATTTTAAAGTGGTTAATGATGAGCGCAAGGAAGAACAATTCTCCGATTCTTATTTCGTTGATTTCGAAAAGGAAGAGGGCGGATTGTTCGGCTATGAAGAACGTGGCACATGTCACGTGGGTGGAAAAGAGACAAGGAAAGTGGGAGTTGCGCGAGAAGAGTTCATTCAAGGGATCGAGCGCAATTGGAAACGAAGAAAGCGGAAGGTCAAGGAGGTAGAAGTCAACTACAACCTTGAGGTCAAGGTTGTTTTCAAGGGGGATGTATTGTCAGAAACACATTTATTTGGGCTTTCTATTATTATATTAGGTAGGATAATTATAATTATGGTTAGTAGAGATATAGTCGAATTAGGATTATATTATTAGGGTTTTCTCGTATTATCCCTATAAATATGTACTTGGGGTTTACGTCATAATAAGTCAAGAAGAATATGAAGAAGAATCTTCTAAACCCTAGTTTATCCTCTCAACTCCTAATTTCTATTATCAACCAATCCAAGGCTTCGGCCGATTCCCAATTCTATTATGTTCTTTCTCATCTAAATCCCTAATCTCAACCCTAAATCCCTATTTGTTACAAGTAATCGCGGGTGCCGAAGATCAGTCCCTAAAAGCCCTAAGAAGTGGGTTTCTCACACTTGCTCCTTCATTCTTCAAGTGGTGAAATACCATAACACGTGAATGTTCTATCCAAACAATACAATTAGAGTCAACACATTCCAAGCTGATTTGCCACATACCAAAATACCATAGAACCAAAATGATACATCCAAACGACCCGTACAGTCCAATGAGCATTAAATTGGCATACCGTGTCTGTTTGACATACTGTGAATTTGTGTAGTGAAAGTTCTTATTTGAGATTAAGAGACCCTGAAACAGGTCATAGAAAACCTAACGGCTATCGGAGTCGAACCGATGACCATCGCATTACAACTAATATGCAGTGTGATATTCCTTCTACAATTCGCTCAAGTTAGGCATCTGCTTTCCTTTAGAATGTCTCGTATGAATATCAACATTTATGTATTTCTCTCTTTGATCTCGTTTAGCACTACATTTTAAGTGCATCTATGATAACCAAACTATCATCATCTCGTATACACTAAGCTGGGCTTAGTTGACTATCTGAATTATAAGTTGCACATGAGCCAAATCAGTGATCTTAATTTAGAGACATGTGACTTGACACATGAGAGTTTTGGTTGTCTTTCGTCAATCCAAGTTGGCTTCCTGAAAGTTTAAGAATTCGCAAGGGATTGAAAAAAACCATGTCTTTTATTTAATAGTAATTGTTTGATCTTGGATGGCGTTAATGGTTGTGCATGGCTGATCATTGTTGTTAGAGATGATTTTTTCATATATTATCAGAGTGAGCTTATAATAGCCTGGCGAGTTGCTGTACCCTCGAGAGTGTACATTTTTACCCATGGACAACAATCAATCTCTGGGATTAAAAATATATGGGCTGCTTGAGTGTATTTACTTTGTTTGTTTTGTGTATGTTATAGTGTTGCTAGGTTGAAGGGGATAGGAAAAAGTTAAGCCAGTAACCAATAAGCCATTTCTGTACGTTCATTTGATAATCACTTTTGGATACACATCCTTGAATGTTTAAATTAGTTTCCTAAACAAACAAACCTAGTTAATTTCATTGGGTAATAATAGATTGTAAATGACAAAGCTAGTTGTATAATGTCAGGTTTACCCAACATTAAGTGCCTATGATGTTGGTCATACTTCAGTCCAATCGTGCTCATTGCAAACTGCTGTAATGTCCATTCAAATGGATCCATCCTTAGCAGTTGCAAGAAACTTTTTGTTTGTAGAACTAGGCAGTAGCATTAAGAGTGGAAACAAACTTCAATTCACAGAACTAAACAAAACCAATGGTCTCAACATGACTAGTGTTGCGCAACTTTGTCTTTTCGTGGCTTAAAAAATCCACTGTTCTTTCCATCCTCTACATCTGTGGAAGCCGATGTCTTGCTTGCTTTGAATTTGCATCTGAAATGCATAGTTTCTGAATGGTTCACTTAGCCGTTTTCCTAATTGTTGTTGTGATTTCCGGTGCATACAATTTGAACATGCAGCTTCCATTGTTATTGAAGAATTCAGCCATATGGAGGAGTACGGTCATCTGTTTATCAGAACCTTTGAAAGGTTTACTCAAGCAGCATCTGTTATGGGTCTGAATTCATCATATATCTGTGACCAAGAGCCTGATTTGGTGGAAGCCTATGCAAATTTTGCATCCATGTTTGTCCGAAGCTGTCCTAAGGTTTGTCATCATCTTCTATATCAGATACTGTTTTTACTTAAATTTTATTATGTGGTTTCTTAGAGAGTTTTATGCATTATGACTACCTAAAGAGATCAATATGAATCACATGATCTTTCTCCATTCTCATTCCAGCAAGTTTTGGCTGCATCCGGGTCACTCCTTGAAATTTCATTCCAAAAGGCTGCTATATGCTGCACAGCCATGCACCGTGGATCAGCGTTGGCTGCAATATCATATTTATCATGTAAGTGCAACCTGCAGAGTTTTTGGGCTTCAAATGTGAGACTATCTGGCATATTAAAATCTTCTCTAATGATATTATTTGCCGGGGCAAATACCATCTTTCACGTTTGAGTTCCTAAAAAATCCATTTTTCACCTTAGTGTACTTTTTATGTTTCCTGGTTCTTGTTGAATTGGTAGTCCCGTTTGGAAAGCACATTGGATGTCCCTAAAAGACGATGGAAATAGGATAGATTACACGTCATATCTTAATCAGAAGATACCTGTAGGCCTAGAGCTGCCTTTCCTAGAAGATATTTGGAAAGCTAGCTTTATGAGGGGCTTTGAATTCGTAGTGTACCAGGCAAATCCTTGAACTTAATCATTCATGCGAAAAGAACAGGGTACTATCGAACGGGTTTGAATCTTCTTCTCTAGTTCTCATATTTGTGTATCTACTAAGGTTGTAGTTGGTTGTCGCACTTGGGCATTTATTGGTCTTAGAAGGCCGTTTTACATCACGAGGCAGACATATGTCAACTTCTCTCTACTTTCTTTGGTTTCATTTTTAATTTGCTTCCTCAATTCATTGCCTTGGAGAAGGTACTCCAAATAGAGATAATCGCTTGATTGTATTCGAGCACTCACACTCTGAGCAATTTCATGAATCTAATGCAGATTTCAATATTCACTGTACTGGGTTACCTCTAAGGTTCACGAAATGTTTTGATATCCAGGTTGTAGTGCATTGCATAACTTATGCTTGTGAACCTCTTTAGGAGTCTAGATTTTCTTTTTGGCCGGCATTTTGTTTATTGAGATTTTGAAACCATTTTCGTCAGTCAGACTTAATTGCACTAAGACAACTGATGGGTACGAGTTTGAGGAAATGCAGAGGACAAAGATCGGTTACAAAAAATTGTTATTGTCTTGACTGAGTGCCACCTTTCTGTTTTTGAAATTTGTCACTGAGTTTATTTAACTACATGTAAAGATTGTTCTCATTACTGTTGAATCTATATCTGTTTGTCTTTTCAAGGTTTCTTGGAGGTTACCCTTGATGTTATGCTGGAATCAATCAACTCTATGCTTGAGGGATCATATTGTTGCATTGCAATTCAGCTCATAGCTCGTAGAGGTGAAGGGCTAGTATCAAATATTGTTTATGCTTTGCTTGGTGTTTCAGCAATGTCTCGGGTAAGTTTAACATCATGAAGTATTTAAGTCTTTTTGTTGTCATCTCTAATGTAAGTATACAAGAATAGGAAAGTGTAAAAACACAGCGTGTTACTTGATTTGTTATATTAACAGAGACATGATAGTTTTGTTAAATGGTTCTGATATGATTGGCTTGCATTTGGCAACCTGGTAAGCTCTTAGTGCCCATCACGAGTCATTAAGCATAATAGCTACACTGTAAATCAGAGACCATTTCAGTCTCCAGTAAATATTTCCACATGCAAAATAAGATGTGTAATGTGAATTGCTGGGGCCATTTCTGAGTAACATATTGGTTGATACCTGAGATGATTAGTTATTTTCCCGTATGGAGTAAGAGAGGAACTAATTCTTGATGATTCCTGCATGAAATAGGTTCACAAGTGTGCAACCGTGTTGCAACAATTGGCTGCGATTTGCAGGTGTTGTGATAGAACAATTTGGAATGCTATGCTCTGTTGGAATTCATTGCAAAGATGGCTGCATTCAGCGGTCTCTCTCTCCCCTCTCTCTCTCTATGTATTATTATCTAATCGATCTAATTGTTTCAGTCTATGCATATGCTGTATGTATGTGCTTAAAAGTTCTGGGCTTGACTTCTGTTAAATTAAGTAGCACCAGTGTATGTCTCTTGTGTCTAGGAACTGAGCTTGAGAACTTTAGTTGATAATTTTAGCAGATGAAGTCTCCACATTAACCTGAGTTATGCTTATTTGGTGGTTTTGATTGTTAAATAAATTCCATAAGGGCTGTTATGGTCCTAGTTATCTAATCTGGTATCATAAGTGATGACTGCCTCTAGTATGGCCCTTTTAACCTTCTTCGCATCTGCTTGTCCTATGAAGTGTATGTTCTTGATAAAGAACAATGAACGCTATCGTGGCCGTTTATGGAATAGTGAATTGGTCTTCTAATTGTTTGATTAATTATTTATTTATGTGTTCATTTTAATGTTGTTGAGACCAGGTGCATGGCCTTCCAGTGGAGTATCTAAAGCCAGGAGAAGATGATACATTGGTTCCAGATTGGTTGGACGCTTTGGCTGGGGCTGCAGTCGATTATCTTGACAGCAAGAGTTCCAAGGGTGTTAAGAACAATTATGGGCATATGCAAGGGAAAGGTGGAAGAGTCCTCAAGCGTATAATTCGAGAATTTGCTGATAGTCACTGTGCCTTGACCCAAATTTGAGTATGTATGTCTATGGAAGCTCAGCAGTTTCATTTACGAGCCATCACCAATATTCTACATCGCTTTTCCAGCTTCCTTTTTGTGTGGTTATCGGATTTGGGTAATTAGCTCTGCTGCATTTGCCCCCTTGTTTCTTGTTTGTACAGTTGCATCTCACCAGGCTGGTTAGCTAATCAACCTTCAATATTCAATTTTGTGTACAGCCCTCTCTTAAAAGAAAACAAGTCCGACGTAACTTTTGTCAAGGTTAATCAAAGCTTAATCGTTATCATATTTTATGCCCGGAATGTTTGTGTAGTTTGTGTATGTTTAACGGTATGTAGTCATGAAGGAATGAACTAGGAACCAATTCGGGATGTCAGGGACGTGAAACAGTTGAAACGAGGACCAAAAGGCTGGACATGGCCTACAAGACAGAAGTCACAACAGTCTGTCCCAGTTTCTATCAAATTTTATCTGATTCTGAGCCAAAATATTGAAGACGAGCATTATGCCAACGAACATATGTATGGTCATATTACCTAACACGAGCCAAACATATCATCAGTGTGGGTGAGAACTGGAAGAGATGGTCAATCTAAATCGTGGCCTAAACATCATTGTGTTAGAACTTAGAAGCTATATGGTATGGGCTTAGGCTTACCGTGGCCTCAAGCCCTCAACACGACCTTTCAAATTATAAAACTATGCTTGAAGATACAGTGATCTAAGTGCAACATGAGCAATACGCTCGTGTTGATTATGATATTCTCTCTCCTAATTGACTTTCGTTTGGCCCTAACAGTGGTTGTACTACTGCATGGTTGTCATGCCGGTGACATGCCACCCGGTTGAACCTGGTTCAACCTGTGTCGGTCATGAAACCGGCATGACACCACCGGTATGACCGGTATGATTGATTTACGTATTCTAAGTAAAATGACATCATTTTAATGAATTTAATGAATACAAAATTCATTTATTATTCATTTTATGAATGTAATAGTTAAAAGTTGATGATATTTGTTGGATTGTAACTCAATTGTCCACAAATATGTTTAAATACATTGGATATTAATTGTTTTCACATTTTTTTAAACCGGCATGAACCGACACAAACTGGTTATACCACCGGTCGTACCATTCCACTTGCCAAACCGGCACAACGGTATAAACCGGTTTGACAATCTTGTACTACTGAGATCTTCTCCCATTATTGATCCTTTGAAAGATTTGGATATCAACTTACTAATAAACCACACTAACCTGCACACACTGTAGTTATCCTCATTCACAATTTGTAGGTAGTTAGGTCTAGTTAGCAAAATCATTATTTTTGTGGTAAGTGATTAACTACTAATCACAGTTGTTAATGTGCAAAACTCACTATAATCACATTGGGTTGACAATTTTTTATTTTACCTTTAAATTTCACCATACTTATCAAAAATATTTATAATATAAGGAAAAATGATAAAAAAAACCCACTGCCAAAATTAAAAATTTATACCGCGTGCTATGTCAAATTAATTTGCATCTTGTTCCAATAAAAAAAAATTTGCATATTGTAAATCAAAAGCTTTAATCTATTTCTTCTCTTTGATGCAAAATTTGAATATGAAACTCGAAAAGATAAAAGCCCCACACTTAGTAGGATATACCGAATTCAATATGCACGAACAACACAACAATACATCAATATGATTTAGTGGAGGATTACAGATTCATTGGTGGCAACATCAGCTTCACACCTTGAAACATGAATTTTTGCGGGTAACCACAAATCTAACCATTATGATGTGGTTTGTGGTTAGCAAAATCATGCTTTTGTAATTGTGGTTAACCACACAATGTGAGGTGGGTAACCATACCCACACAAACTTCCACCCCTACTTTTAGCAACCTAGGCAAAGCTTACGGGGACATGGTCACACATACAAAATGACTCGTTTACTCATGTATAGACATTTGATAATGTAGATATTTTCAAATGTATTGCTTGGTTAAAAAGTTTTAAATGAGTTATTTTTCGCAAGAATCATTTGTATATTGTTACCATTTTGCCCTTACATTTAATAACTTAATAAAGCCTACCACAAAAAAATTATTTTTCAACCAACATATAGCATATTATTTGGGTATTATCCATATATAATGCTACTTTTTAATTTTGAATAATACTTTTATAGCTTACCAAAAATTTCAAAATTCTAATAACAACTACAAAAAAGGGGAAAATGGAATAAAAAATTGAATTTTGATTTTTTGAATAATTTTAGAGTTAAACATAACCTATAATTGAAATCGATCTCTAGATACTAACGACTATTTTACTATAAATAGTTGAAAAGTATTATTGAGAAATATTTTCAAAGTATTATTTGAAAACATAGCAAGGTGGATATCATTATGTAAATTATAATTAATGAGTTCTTTATATACAAATTTGATTGAATTGCGAGTTAAATTGAATGAGTTATGACCTGATTAAGAAAACTAGATTTTTGAAAAAACAGGTTTTGTCTATTCAAAAATATATATTCTCGTCTAGGATCCTCTAGGATGCATAAGTTACCAAGGATGGGCTCTCTGTGCCGGATTTCATACTAAGAATATCAGAATCTAACATTGAAGGGTTCCCTACAAGCTATGAGGTGCTTTCAGCAAGATGAAATGTAACGAAGTTAAGTCCGTTTAGCTACGTATCATAATGAAAAATTACGTATCAGGCACTCCTTTTTATCTCTTTGGACGGAGATCTTCGCCAATATTGATGGACTCTCTTTATTGGTATTCATAATAAAAGTGTCACAATCTAACATTGAAGGGATCCTAACAAAATGAAATATAATGAAATCATGTCCATTTAGTTTCGTATCTTAGTGAAAAACCAATACCTATATGTAAGGACAAGATGTATAATAAATACAGAAATGGAATGGGCATGTACGAACTCATGTTAACCCAACGGCAATGGAGGGGCCCAAACATTTTTTCTTGGTGTTTTTCAAGGGAAAAGAAGTAAAAAGGGGCAATCTGAATGAAATATGATCAAAGATAGTCTCATATTATATATAATATAGGACAGTTTTGTTTAACTATGGATGCATCATGCATACCAAGGTCACCCAAGGAGGAATTAATGGCTTAGAGTGGGTAGGAAGGATGGATGGATGTGGATCTACTTCCAGTTATTGGCAACGATGTCGGCGAGGTCTACAACCCGTTGGGAGTAGCCCCACTCGTTGTCATACCAAGCAATGACCTTGACCATGTCGTCGCCCATGACCATGGTCAAGGAAGAGTCGACCGTGGAGGAAACGTCGGTGCACCTGAAGTCGACGGAGACGAGGGGCTCGTCGCAAACAGAAAGGATGCCTTTGAGCTCGTTGTCGGCGCTCTCACGGAAGGCGGCGTTGACCTCCTCGGCGAAGGTCTTCTTGGAGACCTGGACGACAAGGTCGACGACGGAGACATTAGGGGTGGGGACACGGAGGGCAATCCCGTTGAGCTTGCCCTTGAGGGTGGGCAGGACGAGGGCGACAGCCTTGGCGGCTCCTGTGGAGGTAGGGACAATGTTGAGGGCAGCAGCCCTGGCTCGCCTGAGGTCCCTGTGGCTGGCGTCGAGGAGGCGCTGGTCCCCTGTGTAGGAGTGGGTGGTGGTCATAGTGCCCTTGATGATACCGAATTTCTGGTCGAGCACCTTGACGAAAGGAGCCAGGCAGTTGGTGGTGCAGGAGGCGTTGCTGATGATATCCTCGTCTGGGCTGTAAGCGTCCGCGTTGACCCCGACCACGTAGGTTGGGATGTCTCCCTTCCCTGGCGCTGTGATGAGCACCTTCTTGGCCCCCGCTTGGATGTGCTTCCCTGCGCCATCCCTGTCCACGAAAACTCCTGTGCCTTCTATCACCAGGTCGATCTCCAGCTCCCTGCAGGCATCATCAAGCCCGATTGCATATTTATTACTGTGACTATTTACTAGTACTGATATAACCTGATATATAATAATCAATACAACCATGCAGGATTGAAGAGAGAGTGACTGATAGTTAGCTAGCTTACTTCCAGGGAAGGTTGGCCGGATTACGGTCTGAGACGACCTTGATGACCTTGCCGTCCACGGAGATGCCGTTATCGCCAACAGGCTTCACGTCAGCGTCGAAGATACCGAGGGTGGAGTCGTACTTGAGGAGGTGCGAAGCCTGCTTAACGCCTCCGGTGTCGTTGATGGCAATCACGTCCAATGGCGAGTCCTTCCTCCCGTGCCAGCATCTCAAGAAGTTCCTCCCGATCCTACCGAACCCATTTATCGCTACTTTCAGTTTGGCCTCCGCTGCGCTTTTCCTGTATCCCCCGCTGCTGCTAACTCCCTGCACCGCACCCGGCGGGCCCATCACTACTGTTATTAATAGTAAGGAAATTCAATCCTACCATATTGTCTTTGAGTTATTATAAGTAATTGGAACTCTTTCAACTATAATAAGTTTTACTGATGGCATTATGTAATTAATGCGATTCATCTATCTACATTCTACACTCCATATGTAGGGGACCGGTTAGTATAACAACAATCTTTGTGTTGTTATTATAACAACACTAGTCTCCAACCAATAGGAAGCTAGGATTGTGATGACTTTTTATTAGATTAGTTGACCTAGTGTAAAATCAAAGCAGGGGTATAATTGTCATTATGAAAAATCTGTTTAAATAATAAAAAAATAAAAAAATAAAAAATATTTTTTTTATTTTCTGCCCAAAAATTTGGTCGTCGGAATCCGGACACCGGTCGCCGGAATCTGGTCGCCGGTCACCGGAATATGCTTTTTTGTCGCCGGAATATGCTATTTTGTCATCGGAATATGCTCACCGTCGCCGGAATATGCTTACCGGCGTCGGAATATGCTTACCGGCATCGGAATCTAGTCACCGGGGCCGGAATATGCTTATCGGCGCCGGAATCCGGTCACTGACGGTCATCGGAGTTTGGTCAACGAACTTCGTTGACCGGTCAACGGTCAACGACCACCGGATGTATGGTCTACATTGTGAGATTTATGGTTTGGTTTCTCACATTTTTGTATGCCTTTTGTGGTTTGCTTTATCGCGTTTGTGGTTTGCATTACGAAGTTCCTGGTTTGCTTTATCGTGTTTGTGGTTTGCATTGAGAAGTTTCTGGTTTGCTTTCAAAAACTTTGTGGTTTGCATTGTGGGGTTTTTGGTTTGTTTTAGGAGATTTGTGGTATGCATTAGGAAGTTTCTGGTTTGTTTTTGTGGTTTGCTTTATCGTGTTTGTGGTTTGTGTTATGAGGTTTCTAGTGTGTTTTTGAAAATTCTGTGGTTTGTTTCGTGAGGTTTCTGGTTTGTTTTAATATATTTTTGGTTTGCATTAGGACGTTTCTGGTTTGTTTTTGTGGTTTGCTTTACGATGTTTATGGTTTGCGTTACGAGTTTTCTGGTGTGCTTTCAAAATATTTGTGGTTTGGTTTGTGGTATTTCTCGTTTGTTTTAGGAAATTTGTGGTATGCATTAGAAGGTTTCTTGTTTGCTTTTTTGTGGTTTTTTTTTATCATGTTTATGGTCTGCATTAGGAAGTTTCTGGTATGTTAATTAAAGACTAGTGATCTGCATACCGATAACTCCTAAATGCATACCATAAACACAATAATACATTAAAATACATTAAAAACTAGATTTTTCTTCTTCTTATTCTTCCTTTCTTCTCCTCTGTACTCTCGCCAGCCGCCACCTCTGTCTTCCTCTACCCGCAACTCGCTCCCAATTCACCACCACACACGACCCATCATCGTCCACTCTCCGTCCCCTCTCCACAATTTGCAGATTATTATACACTTGGCCCGCCGGCGTCGGCGTCGGAGAAGAAACCGCCTCCAGCATCCTCCGCTGAAGAAGCCGCCGATTTCGAAAATTAAAAGGTACCGGTTTCGAACAGGCAGAAGAATTTGCACTCCCTTAACCCAATCCCCACGCAATGCCGACTGTCATCCCAGGCGTGGTAGTGGTAGTAATTCTTCCATGCCGAGTCCTCGCGGCGGAAGGTATTGAAGGTCTGATCCTGCGCGTCGATGACGAGAAAGCGCGGCGATGTTTCACCCCGTCTCCATACCAATTCGACGGCGGCAACGACAACCTCTTCCCACTGTTTCACCCGTTTAGGCAGCGTCGTCGATGTTTCAATTCCGTCCACACAATTTTGCAGACAATTTTTTTCCCCAATCTCGAGCTCAATCGATGCAGATGATGCGATGGCGCCGGTGATGGTAGAGATGCGGATTGGCGCCGCCGATGGCGAAATAAAAAGCTTGATGACAGAAGAAGCAAGGGTGGCGGGGAAGAAGCAAGGGCGGTGGGTGGCGGGGAAGAATGGGAGCGGAGAAGCATTGCAATGGGGTTGAAGGAAGAGTAGACTTGGCAGAGGATTGTGGATTTTAATCAAAATTATTTTATTACTTTCTGTGTAATTTACTCTTTTGCCCTTAATGAATTATGTTGTTACTATAACAATACTTTAAGTGTTGTTATACTATCCAGACCCCATATGTAGCTCATTAATCAATTCTGTATTTGAAACATGCGTGCTTATATACATATGTTAGTCTTTACCATATATTTATATATAAACTTTTTGTTTATTTTTGTAAGTTCCGCTGATGCTGCCCATACTAGCTATTTAACCGATTGAATTCATTTATTTGGATCCAAAAATTAGGTGCAGTGGAACATCTTTTATAGAAGAGGAAAGCTAATGTGAATATTAACTAAGGAAGAAAAAAAAGGCAGAGAATGAGATGCAGAGCAGGGTAGGGTACGTAGGCAGCTTACAGCAGAGGTCTGGAAAGAAACGACTGAGAAAAAGTCATCGGACGTTTTCTTGGCGAAAGGAAGGAAAGCTGATGAGGTGCGTAAGCCTGAGAATTCCGCCAGACCCTTCCCATTTCCCTGCAATCAGTGTTGGTAACTACTAGTTAACTACTAGTTAACTTCGTCAGACAGGCCGCCAGATCCTCCTGATCAACCCAAGAATCAACAGCAACTTCAGATCTCCAGCCCTCCAATACTGAATTTCAAAGCAGCGCTGGCGGGGACACCCTCAACAAATCCATCCAGAACGGCTCAATGGACCTTCATTGGAGACCACGACCTAGAGACATCCACGTTCCAAGGAGCGCCAGCCTTGAAAATCTCCCCGGCGCTAAAGGAACGGCTGTGTCAACCTTGGAAAAAGACACTGATAGTTCGACTCCTAGGCAGGTCAGTCTCATACTCGCACCTTGTTTCACAATTGCGGTGGAACTGGAGACCGGTGGGATCTCTAGATGTCATGGATCTTAACAACGAAACTTTCTTAGCAACTTTTGGAAACGACCAAGACTATCTAAGGGCACTCACAGGTGGACCGTGGGTCATCCTGGATCACTATTTGATTGTTCATCAATGGTCTCCAACCTTCCGCACCTCCGACAAACCTCACAGATCAGTGGTAGCGTGGGTACAATTGCCAGAGCTTCCAGTGCACTTTTATCACAGAGAAATTCTCTTTGCTTTGGGAAACCTCATCGGATGCACAATCAAACTCGACTATCACACTGAGAAACTAGAAAGAGGTAAATTTGCTCGTATTGCTATCGAGTTAGATATGACGAAGCCATTGCCCACAAAAATCTGGCTAGATAACTTTTGGCAGCAGGTCATGTACGAGAATCTCCCCACTATCTGCTATGAGTGTGGGCAGATTGGGCACCAAGAAGATTCCTGCCCTAAAATCAACCAGCACGCGACTATGGTGACCTCGCCGGATTCTAGAAAACTAGCTTCACCGGCGACGAGCTCACAAGATCTGCCGGAGGGATTTGGGCCCTGGATGCAAGTCACGCGAAAATCAAGGAAACAGATTAGGAAAGCGAATGAGGTGAACAACCAAAATCGAGGACAGCCAAGTCAAAATCGAGCAGATTCTGGCAAGGGATACGGGTCTGCAAAAGGAAAGGGAGAAGAACCAACAGGAAAAGGAATCAGAGAGAAAAAAGGAAAAGCAGAACAAACCTTGCACAACAAAAAAGGAAGCTCTACAAATCAGAAACAAGACATACCAAAAGATGATGACATACTTAACGGTACAAAAAAGGCCCAACCTCTAAAAGAATGGAGGCCCATTGGTACGAGAGAGGCGACACAGAACAGACCAGCACAACAGATTGAGGCTAGCCCAATGACACTAGGATCAGAACCTTCAACATCGGGCTCCAAACAGATTTCCGTCACCGAAAGAACACAGGGTCAACAAGGGACTACTATTCGAGTTATCTCAGTTCCAGAACTGGTTCTCCCAGGCAAAGAAAACACCAACCCCAATACTACAATATCTTCTATCCGCCAACACTACCAAAGGAAGAAAAACGAAACTGGAAAGCAAGAGAAACCAAGAGGAATCAATGTCAAGGCGGCCAAGAAGCCACTCCAAATCAGAAGTGCTAAACAGCAAGAGACACCGCAGAAAGCCAAACATGTGAGCGGTCCGATTACGATGCAGTCTATCGAAGAGTTTTGCTCGCAAGCTCAGCGTAAGATGAAGAACAATCATCAAATGACCCAAACGAATCAAGAGGATGTCCCCATGGCGGAGACTTCTTCACCCTCGACGGCAAACGAAAATCAAATGGAGGACCAAGGACTCGCGGCGACAGAACTCGCCAGCCCCACCACCTCTTGATCCCTTTCCCTGCTTTTTGAGTTTTGTCTTTTGTTCCTTTTTTTTTATCCAGTTTTCTATGTCTACTCATATTAATTTCAAAATACTTTCTTGGAATGTGTGTGGAGCAGGTAGCAGGAAGTTCATCCGGGCTATCAGACTTCTCAGTGAAACACACAAACCAGATTTGTTGATTCTGTTGGAGCCACAAATTAGTGGCGATAAGGCAGACTCGGTTTGTAACAAGCTGGGCTTTGACGAAGTCTTGAGAATAGACGCAGAAGGGAGAACAGGTGGTATTTGGATTGCATGGAAAAGCTCCAAATTCATGGTTGACTTGGTTGATGCGAGCAAACAACATATCACAGTCAAAATTGATTCTCTGAGTAAGCAACAATGGCTTCTTACCGGTGTATATGGCAGCCCCCAATACCGGTTTCAATCTTTAATGTGGGATCACCTCATTCAGACTAGCAAAGATACAAATATTCCGTGGCTAGTAACGGGAGACTTCAATGCCTACTGTCTACCGGAAGAAAAGCTGGGTGCCAACTCTCCAGCTTCCCTACGAAGATGTCAGCGGTTCTGTTCGTGGATAAATCAAGCTGAATTAATTGATCTAGGATACTCCGGACCTAGATTTACCTGGTACAGGGGAGAAACGCAGGCTACCAGGAAAGCTAGTCGAATAGATAGATCACTATGCAATGTGGCCTGGAATTCGACTTTTCCCAACTCTTCGGTTCAACATCTCCCCAAATTCCACTCGGATCACTTGCCCTTGCTAACGTCAGTGGGCAACCAACACAACACAGATTATGGAAACCGGGATAATTTCAAGTTTGAGGCTGTGTGGTTGACGGACAACAAATTCAAGGATTTTTTAGCTGCTAATTGGAATAAAGAAATACCTCTACAGCAAGCCTTGAAGGAAGTTACCCCTAAATTACAGCAGTGGAGTAAAGAAGTGTTCGGTTCTGTTAACAGGAAGAAAAGGAGATTGTTGGCTAGATTGAAGGGTATCACAGACCGGTTAGCAGTTTCCTTCAATCCTGGACTGTTGAAGCTTCAACTTAAGCTGGAAGGAGAGCTTGACTGGGTACTAGCACAAGAAGAAATTGTCTGGTTTCAGCGTGCCAAAGAGAAATGGGCGACTCTGGGGGAACAAAATACATCCTACTTCCACCATCAAGCCACTAGACGTAAAAGAAGAAACAAAATTTTAGCTCTCAGGAATGCAAATGGAGACTGGATAGATGATCAAGAATCTCTCCTCAACATGGTTCTGAATTTCTACACCACTCTCTATACGGAAGATGGGGATCAGTATGAGGACCTCATGCCCAAAAACGTTTTTCCCAGGCTGCAGCAAGAAGATAGCATGGCTTTACATCGTCCCTACCATATTTCTGACATCCACAAAGCAATCCATGATATGAAACCTTATTCAGCTCCAGGTCCGGATGGTTACCAAGCCATCTTCTATCAAAAATTCTGGCCAATAGTGGGGAAAAACCTGGCGGATATGGCTTCAAGCTACTTTGAAATAGGCGAGATTCCAACAGAGACTTTGGATTCGACAATCGTTCTTATCCCTAAAATGGAACAGCCTGAGTCTCCTGCTCAATTCAGACCTATATGCCTGAATAATGTCGCCCTCAAGGCAATTACTAAGGCAATTACCAATAGATTAAAGCCTTTGATGCCAAAAATCGTTGCTCCCACTCAGAGCGGTTTCATTCAGGGTAGGCAGGCAAATGACAACATACTTCTTCTTCAAGAAACCCTTCACACTCTCCGAAGGAGGAAAGGGAAGAAGGGAGGCTTGGTTATAAAAATCGACCTTGAAAAGGCCTACGATAGACTCCGGTGGGACTTTATCAGAGATACGCTTAAGGAGGTCGGGCTGGCCAGCTCTCTCATCAGCAGAATCATGACTTGTGTGGAAAGAAACAAGATGCGAATCAGCTGGAACGGGCAACTCTCGAATCCAATTATCCCCTCCAGAGGAGTTAGACAGGGAGATCCCCTATCACCCTTCCTTTTTATTCTTTGCATGGAAAGATTGGCCCATAAAATTGAACAAGCAGTCGAGGCAAAACTTTGGAAACCATTACAACTCTCAAAAAATGGTCCAAAGTTGTCCCATTTATTTTTCGCTGATGACCTTGTTTTATTTGCAGAAGCTGAAGGGAGTCAAATCGACATCATCAAGAGGTGCCTTGACGACTTCTGCAGCAGCTCCGGACAACGGGTTAATCATAGCAAGTCGGCAATGTTCGTCTCACCAAATGTTCGACGAGATAAAGCTGCCAGACTTAGCTCCCGAGCAGGAATCAACCTTACGGCGGACCTGGGAAGATATCTAGGAATCACTGCAATAAACGGCAGGATAACCAAGGCCCGCTACAAGGAACTCCTGCTCAAAATTCAGAACAAACTAGCGGCGTGGAAAACAAGACATCTCTCAATGGCAGCTAGAGTTACTATGGTGAAAGCAGTAACTTCTAACATTGCTATATACCCCATGTTTTCTGAACTTCTTCCTGTTGGTGTATGCAAATCGATAGACAGGTGTAATAGAAGTTTCATTTGGGGAGAAGAAGAAGACAAGACAAAGCTTCACTCGGTGGCGTGGGAGCATTTAACCCAACCTCGGCATCAAGGAGGTCTTGGAATCCGCCCTACAAGAAGAACCAATCAAGCCATGTTGGCAAAGGGAGCATGGAAACTCATAACAGACGATCAATCTTTATGGGTCGAGGTCTTGAGAAAGAAATACGGGCGCGGCAAGAGAGATTTGCAGATGCTAGCAAAATCAAAGGGAAGTTCTCATGCTTGGAAAAGTTTTGCCCAAACGGCAAACCTCCTACGAAAAGGAGCTGCTCAAAATGTTAAGAATGGGAGAAAAACTAATTTTTGGTTGGATACGTGGGTTTTGCAGGAACCTTTACTCGCCCAAGCTACGACAGAGATCCCGATGGAGACACGACAGAAGAAGGTTGCAGACTACTGGACAGAATCCTCAGGCTGGAAGATGGAGGATTTGAACCAACTCCTCCCTATAGAGGTGTTGAACAAAATCAGAGCAGTAAAACTGGATCCATTATCGACAACTGAAGACAAGCTCTTTTGGAAAGCTTCAGCTAATGGAGTTTTCAACACCTCATCGGCATACAAGCTGGAAGAACAACAGCAAAACAACCACAGCTCATTCCAATGGCGCAAGATCTGGCACCTCCAAGTACCAGAACGAGTTCGCCTTTTCATGTGGACAGCAGCGAAGGGAAGGTTGACTACGAACAGCATTAGAAAGTTCAGGCATCTCACCTCGGAAGACAAGTGCGCCTTGTGCGGTACAGAAATAGAAACTAACTTACACTGCTTGAGAGACTGCAGCAAGATCAGAAGAGTTTGGGAAAAAATTGTACCAATAACACAGCAGCAACAGTTCTTTTCAGCTAACCAGGAAGACTGGTTGAAGACAAATCTGGAGAGCAACGAGAACAGTGGAGAGACAGGGGAGTGGGCCAGCTTCTTTGCTTTGGTTAGTTGGTACATCTGGAAACATCGGAATGATTATATCTTTAAAGCAATCAGATTATCCAACTATACTCTCATTAACTACATTGTATCGAAGGCGAAAGACTGGATAAGTACTTGGAAGAAGGCTATGGAAACAAGAGATTCACTGACTAAGCCAGCAAGGGAAGAGCAGTTAATAGGTTGGTCTCCACCACAACCAGGTTGGAGCAAGCTAAATACGGATGGCGCCGCTCAGGGGAATTCAGGAATTATTACTGCAGGAGGAGTCCTCAGAGATAGTGAAGGAGATTGGATAGCGGGTTTTGTTTGCAAGATAGGAACCGGATCTGCCATTCTGTCAGAGCTATGGGGCATCCACCAAGGACTCGAACTAGCTTGGAGGAAGGGAATACAATTTCTGATACTTGAAACAGATTCGAAACTGGCAATAGAGCTCATCAATAAAAGATCAGACCCGGTACATCCTCATGCCACCCTTTTAGACTCTATTCGGAGAATGCTTGCTCAGAGTTGGATTGTTCGTTTGGTTCATACATATCGCGAAGGGAATAGAGTCGCGGACTGGCTCTCGAAGCACAGTCTCGTCTATCCCTTCGGTACGTATGAATTAGATGAACTACCAACAGATTTAGAGAGACTTCTACGTGAAGACATGATTGGGATCAGCTTCCCTCGGCAAGTGATTATAGATGGTTCAAATGAGTGACTGTTTTACTGGTTTTGGTTTTTGGCTTGTGATAGGATTTGCTTGGGAGCATTTGAGTATGTTTTCTTCCTGTTGGAAGGTGATCTGCTCCTCCCCTTTGAGCTCTCTGTAACTGGTTCTCTGGCTTCTGCCTCCTCTCAATCAAAAAAAAAAAAAAAACTATAATAAGTTTTACTGATGGCATTATGTAATTAATGCGATTCATCTATCTACATTCTACACTCCATATGTAGGGGACCGGTTAGTATAACAACAATCTTTGTGTTGTTATTATAACAACACTAGTCTCCAACCAATAGGAAGCTAGGATTGTGATGACTTTTTATTAGATTAGTTGACCTAGTGTAAAATCAAAGCAGGGGTATAATTGTCATTATGAAAAATCTGTTTAAATAATAAAAAAATAAAAAAATAAAAAATATTTTTTTTATTTTCTGCCCAAAAATTTGGTCGTCGGAATCCGGACACCGGTCGCCGGAATCTGGTCGCCGGTCACCGGAATATGCTTTTTTGTCGCCGGAATATGCTATTTTGTCATCGGAATATGCTCACCGTCGCCGGAATATGCTTACCGGCGTCGGAATATGCTTACCGGCATCGGAATCTAGTCACCGGGGCCGGAATATGCTTATCGGCGCCGGAATCCGGTCACTGACGGTCATCGGAGTTTGGTCAACGAACTTCGTTGACCGGTCAACGGTCAACGACCACCGGATGTATGGTCTACATTGTGAGATTTATGGTTTGGTTTCTCACATTTTTGTATGCCTTTTGTGGTTTGCTTTATCGCGTTTGTGGTTTGCATTACGAAGTTCCTGGTTTGCTTTATCGTGTTTGTGGTTTGCATTGAGAAGTTTCTGGTTTGCTTTCAAAAACTTTGTGGTTTGCATTGTGGGGTTTTTGGTTTGTTTTAGGAGATTTGTGGTATGCATTAGGAAGTTTCTGGTTTGTTTTTGTGGTTTGCTTTATCGTGTTTGTGGTTTGTGTTATGAGGTTTCTAGTGTGTTTTTGAAAATTCTGTGGTTTGTTTCGTGAGGTTTCTGGTTTGTTTTAATATATTTTTGGTTTGCATTAGGACGTTTCTGGTTTGTTTTTGTGGTTTGCTTTACGATGTTTATGGTTTGCGTTACGAGTTTTCTGGTGTGCTTTCAAAATATTTGTGGTTTGGTTTGTGGTATTTCTCGTTTGTTTTAGGAAATTTGTGGTATGCATTAGAAGGTTTCTTGTTTGCTTTTTTGTGGTTTTTTTTTATCATGTTTATGGTCTGCATTAGGAAGTTTCTGGTATGTTAATTAAAGACTAGTGATCTGCATACCGATAACTCCTAAATGCATACCATAAACACAATAATACATTAAAATACATTAAAAACTAGATTTTTCTTCTTCTTATTCTTCCTTTCTTCTCCTCTGTACTCTCGCCAGCCGCCACCTCTGTCTTCCTCTACCCGCAACTCGCTCCCAATTCACCACCACACACGACCCATCATCGTCCACTCTCCGTCCCCTCTCCACAATTTGCAGATTATTATACACTTGGCCCGCCGGCGTCGGCGTCGGAGAAGAAACCGCCTCCAGCATCCTCCGCTGAAGAAGCCGCCGATTTCGAAAATTAAAAGGTACCGGTTTCGAACAGGCAGAAGAATTTGCACTCCCTTAACCCAATCCCCACGCAATGCCGACTGTCATCCCAGGCGTGGTAGTGGTAGTAATTCTTCCATGCCGAGTCCTCGCGGCGGAAGGTATTGAAGGTCTGATCCTGCGCGTCGATGACGAGAAAGCGCGGCGATGTTTCACCCCGTCTCCATACCAATTCGACGGCGGCAACGACAACCTCTTCCCACTGTTTCACCCGTTTAGGCAGCGTCGTCGATGTTTCAATTCCGTCCACACAATTTTGCAGACAATTTTTTTCCCCAATCTCGAGCTCAATCGATGCAGATGATGCGATGGCGCCGGTGATGGTAGAGATGCGGATTGGCGCCGCCGATGGCGAAATAAAAAGCTTGATGACAGAAGAAGCAAGGGTGGCGGGGAAGAAGCAAGGGCGGTGGGTGGCGGGGAAGAATGGGAGCGGAGAAGCATTGCAATGGGGTTGAAGGAAGAGTAGACTTGGCAGAGGATTGTGGATTTTAATCAAAATTATTTTATTACTTTCTGTGTAATTTACTCTTTTGCCCTTAATGAATTATGTTGTTACTATAACAATACTTTAAGTGTTGTTATACTATCCAGACCCCATATGTAGCTCATTAATCAATTCTGTATTTGAAACATGCGTGCTTATATACATATGTTAGTCTTTACCATATATTTATATATAAACTTTTTGTTTATTTTTGTAAGTTCCGCTGATGCTGCCCATACTAGCTATTTAACCGATTGAATTCATTTATTTGGATCCAAAAATTAGGTGCAGTGGAACATCTTTTATAGAAGAGGAAAGCTAATGTGAATATTAACTAAGGAAGAAAAAAAAGGCAGAGAATGAGATGCAGAGCAGGGTAGGGTACGTAGGCAGCTTACAGCAGAGGTCTGGAAAGAAACGACTGAGAAAAAGTCATCGGACGTTTTCTTGGCGAAAGGAAGGAAAGCTGATGAGGTGCGTAAGCCTGAGAATTCCGCCAGACCCTTCCCATTTCCCTGCAATCAGTGTTGGTAACTACTAGTTAACTAGTCCAGTATATAAATCACCATAAACCTAGTAATGAAATGAATATGATCTAGTAAGTGGTGATCGGTGGAGGTAGCAAAGCTGGCATATATATATATATATGTGGCATACCACAATGACTGGTATAAAGTCATCCAAAGAGAGTATTATTTACCTGAAGAGATGGTTTGGCTACGGCGAAAGTAGCCGAAGCCATCTGGGCAGTGAAACAGAGTGCTGGAAGAAGAGATGAGAGGGAGGATCGAGAATGTGGGATTGGTGTTCACTGGAGTCTTATGTGGGTTGGGGGTGCGGAGAGTGATATGAGCGAGTGGTTGCAAGAGAAAGGAAGTTAACTGAGTGTGGGGTTCGTGCGGGCTCGGTTTTGGTGGTGAATAATAAGAGATTGGATGAGATTGTGGATAGCCCTCTTGTTCAACGTATGGCTCTCCTCCTGCTTCCTCTCTAACCCAATCTCCTGCTTCCTCTTCTTCTTTACTTTATTTTATTCCACCTTAATACGGATTCTCCTAATAACTCTAACATATCATAATGACTCTCACTTCCAAATAGTAGTCCGGTAGAGTTTTTTTTTTTTTGACAATAAGGATCCACTTTTATTCCACTTCCAATTCGAGAAAAGCGAGAATACACACTATCAAAGGAAATCCGAAATTAGGTCAAGAATACTAATCCAGTCAACAGGGAGGGAGGATCTAGCTAGAGATCGTGCAACCCAATCAGCTCTAACATTGAAAGCACGTGAAACTGCCTTGACCTTCACTTGAGGGTTTGTTCTTAAGATTGAGACCATTGATCCAATCCAGGCTGCACCTCTCCAAGGCCAGTTTCTTGGCTCGTCCGAGAGAGCTTTGACAATCTGCTGGCAGTCTGACTGGACAACACATTCAGTGCCATATTCTTGGGCTAATTTGAGACCTTCCAAAAGGGCTTTCGCTTCGGCTTCGAGTGGGGTGGAACAAAGTAGAGTGTCAGCTCGCCCATCAAACACTTGACCATGGTGGTTAGTGACTACCACACCATATGCCGCCGGCTGGGAGTCGTTTAAGAACGACCCATCACAGTGAATCACCAAATTGTGATTGCTTGGCGGTGGAGAATTGAGTGATTGGGCTCCCCTGAGCTGAGTAGAAGGAGAGTCATTGGGGGGACTCCTCGGGCAGCTAGTCCATTCCGTGAATTCTTTGTAAGTTCGCAAAATAACGTTCGGATGCCAAGGGATCCTATTCTTGAACACACATTCATTTCTAGCCTTCCAGATATTCCAGCAAAGGAAAATAACATGGGTGAGGGCTCCTGGTTGGATAGAGTCCTTGAGAACGTACAACCAGTCAAGGAAAGTAGTATACTGAGCTGGAAACGGGAGGTTTGGGAAGATAACTTCCCATGATTCCCTCGCATGGGGGCATTGAAAGAGGCAGTAGAAGAGGGACTCATTCGGCCAATGGCACACTTGGCACGTTGCATTAGGGGAGCATTTCCTGTGTAGAAGTCTCTCTTTTGTTGCTAGTCCGTTCCTGGCACATCTCCAGACAAAGAATTTGAGCTTAGGCGGGATATTCAGACTCCACATCCATTTCCATTTCTCCACATTGTTCATCGTTTGGGGATCCATAACTGCAGAGTGGACCGCATGATACGCTGTCTTGACTGTAAACTTCCCATCTTCATTAAACCTCCACGCCCAGAAATCCTTAGCGTCCTCCTCCCCAATCGGAACTCTTAAAATAGCATCTCTTTTTGTAGGAGAGACCTGTCTCTGAAACATCTCATCATTCCACTTCCTGCTTTCCGTATCAATCCAGGAACTGACTTTTGCATGATTTTGTGGGCCACTTTGAATGCATGCTCTGGGGAGGAAGGGAACCCACGGATCTTGCTCAATCCATGTATCATCTCCTGATCCAATAACTCTCACAGCTCCCAGATCAATGACCTTCTTAGACTCCCACAGACTCGCCCAGATCCAAGATGGTTTGCTCCCTTTTTTAGCCGAGAGGAAGTTGCCTCTAGGGAAATAAAGTCCTTTGATACGACGACTCCAAAGTGTATCCGTGTTGTTCATAAGCCTCCAAGCTTGTTTGGCAAGCAGGGCCAGATTGAAGTCTCTGAAGCTTCGGAAACCCAAACCTCCCTCTGATTTTGGGGTACAGAGAATCTCCTTGCTGCACCAGTGGAGGTTGCTTTTCTGCATTGATCCTGACCAGAAAAAATTGCTAAGGAGAGAGTCCATTTTCTTCGTCAGTGAGACTGGTAGAAGGAACAGGCACATGATGAATGTAGGGATGGCCTGGATAACCGACTTAAGGAGGACTTCCTTCCCTCCATGTGAAAGAAGTAGGCTCTTCCACGCTTCCCCCATCTTTTCCATCCTTTGGATAAGGAAGTAGAATGTTTCCTTCTTTGAATTTCCCCATTCAGTCGGGACTCCAAGGTATTTAGAATGGCAATTGGAGGATGCAAATCCAATGTGATTGATGATATCATTCTTCTCTTCAACTGGAACATTCGCGCTGAAGAAAATAGAGGATTTGTGAATGTTTACTTCTTGACCAGTAATTGCTCCATAGTCGTTGATGACCTCCAAAATTCTTCCAGCCTCTTGGATGTTAGCTTTCCCAAAAATGACCGTGTCATCCGCAAAGAGACAGTGGGTGAGAGTAGGGCATCTGGAGTTGAGCTTGATTCCCTTGATCCGTTCTTCCCTCACCGCTTTGTCAATCAGGAATGTGAGTGCATTTGACATAAGGATGAAGAGAAAAGGGGAAAGAGGGTCTCCTTGTCTAATGCCCCTCGAGGGACAGAATCTCTCTGAGGCTTCTCCGTTGAATAAAACTGAGAAGCTAACAGTCCGGATACAGGCGCTGACCCATTTGCACCATCTCTCGTCGAACCCATATTGTCTTAGGAGAGTCTCCAGACATTCCCACTCAACCATGTCATAAGCCTTTTTCATATCCAACTTCATCATCATATCCCTTCTGTTGCCACGCTTATGATTCTTAAAATGGTGTAGCACTTCATGAACGATAATGATGTTATCTTGGATGAGGCGACCACCTGTGAAGGCTGTCTGGAGCTCTGAGACCAAATCTGGTGTCCATTTCTTCATCCGGGTAGACATAATCTTAGAGATGATTTTGTACCTGAAGTTGCAGCAGCTGATGGGTCGGAATTGGCTTATTGTCTCTGGGTGGTCCACCTTCGGTACCATCACAATGTGCGTATCATTCCACCCTTCTGGCATGCTAGCTGAATCAAAGAATTCCTCAACTTCTCTACAGAGGGTTTTCCCAACAGTATCCCAGGATTTTCTGTAGAATTTACCCGAGAACCCGTCTGGTCCCGGTGCCTTTCTCGCTCCAAGAGAGAACACTGCTCTCCTAATCTCTTCCCTGGTCACAATTGCACATAGATCCTCATTCATCTCCCCTATTACCATCTTTGGGAACCCCTGAAGGAGGTGGGTAAACTCTACTGAATCTCTAGCCTTGAAAAGTTCTTTGAAGAAACCAACCGACAGACCCTTCAGCCCTGCCTCATCTTCCACCCAATTCCCCACTTCATTTCTGAGGCGAAGTATTTTGTTTCTATGTTTTCTGTGAATGGTGCTAGAATGGAAGAAGGAAGTATTCTGGTCCCCTTTTTGAAGCCAAACAACTCTTGAGCACTGACTCCAAAAAGCTTCCTCCTCAATCCAAATTCTGGTCAATTCCGCTGTGAGGATCTTCTCCTCCTCCACATTCTCTGAAATTCGTGGGGGTTGCTGGAGAATCTCAAGTCTGGACACAATTTCACTCTCCCTGAGGATACTATTCTTATGGAAATCTTTCGCCCATGCCTTCAATTCTCTCTCGCATTTGTTAAGTTGATTGCTAGATAGCCCTCCAGGTTCCCATTCCCTGCAAACAATCTCCTTGCATCCCTCTTTTTCCAGCCATCTCTCGTCCACTCTGAACGGTGTTCTTCTTCTTCTATTATCTTTATAGTGGAGATCAATTCTAATTGGGCAGTGGTCAGAAGCCACCATCTTTTCATGGAAAAGTACCGCTTCTCCAAACATCACTCTCCAAGATGGCGAGCACAACACTCGGTCCAATCTGACTCTAACTAAGTTTGGGCTAGCTCGTTTATTGGACCAAGTAAAAGGGTTACCTTTAAATCCTATGTCAACGAGGGCACTGTCAAAAATGAACCTTTTGAAAGGTTCCACGTTCTCGTATCTAAGAGGGCACCTCTCTTCCTTTTCATAATCATAAATAGCAGCATTAAAGTCCCCTACAATGACCCAACTATCATCTCTACTACTCCGAAGAGAGCTTAAGTGCTCCCAAAACTCCCTTCTACCAACAACCGTAGTCGGGGCATGGACAAAAGTACAGAAGAACTTCTTCCCCATGTCGATGCTAACATCCATATAATACTTATCGCTACTTATTACATTAATACTAATACCCTCCTTCCACCATAACGCAAAGCCCCTTGATGAGTTGACCGGTTCAACATACTCCTTATTGGGGAAAACTCTAAGACTTCTCCTATGTTCTTCCATGAATTCTTCGTTTTTGGTAGTTTCCATTAGGAAGACAATAGAAGGGCCATGACGTCGAATAAGACGTTTAGCATAACTTCTCGTAAGGGATTGGCCAAATCCCCTACAGTTCCAACTTACAATACTCATGGACCGTGAGGTGGCTTTTGGCGAACCACCGCTGCCCTTGTGTCACTTTCTTCTCCATCCCCTAAGCCTTCACTTGTCGATTGGGCTTTGTTCTTTTGGTGCTTCTTCTTTTTACTTCTTCCTTTCATTCCTCCTGCAAACATAGAGTTAGATGAGATCAAGGTAAAACCAGGCCCATCATTTGCCTCCTGGCTCGTTTCTGGGCTTAGGATAGAGAGGCCCTTTCTTTTCTTTATTTTTCGGCCCATCTCTCCTTCAAGCTCCCCTTGGATATGTTGGTAATTGTTTTGGGCCTGTGTGTTGAATAACCTGGGCTCCGGCCCAAGTGACAGCTGAGCTCCCATGCCCTGAAGATCCCCGCTTCGGCCCTCCCCTTAGTCTGCCGCCGGGACCCTTCTTCTTCCTCGAGACTAAGTCTCCCCTGAAGCTCCGCCGCTGCAACCTCCAGATCAAAAGCCAGGTCCCTTGCCCCCATTCCCTCCCTGTATTTCCCCTTCCCCCTCCCCCGACTGCTCCCTTCTTCTGCTCTAGCTTCCTCCTCCAACCGGCGTACAGTGAAGCCCGGTGGGATTTTTGGGTGGATTTCTTCTTCCCTCCTAGCCGACGAGAACTCTGCTGTCCCCATCAAATCCCTGCCATCATTGAAGCCCCCCGAGCTGTAATGATCCCTCCAGGCTTCAGGGTCGGTGGCTGGACTCCATGGTTCTTCCTCTTCAATACGGCTTCTGCTCCCACTCGATCTGTAGGGGGACTCAATTCCTGCCTTCAGCTCAGCTGTTTAGATATCAGAGAGTTGGATATGGCCTCCCTTCCTCCTTTCTTCTTTCATTCTTGAACATGTCGGCCAGTTGTGGCCGATTCTCCCACAGAAATAGCATAATTCGACAAGTCTTTCATATTTGAAAGTTATCTCTTCACAATACTCTCGCCCAGTTGCTTCATCCGTGAAGGGAAAGTCGAAGCCCGTTGGGACTGGTTCACTAACCTCAATCTCGACCAGCATCCGAATGAACCTTCTGTATCCGTTGAAATGGAGGCTGGCTCTGTCCATATCGATGAACTTGCTGAAGTAGAAGGTCCCGATTGAGATGATATTCTGCTCGCATCTCTGGCTTTGGTGGAGACCATGAATCTGTACCCAGACAGCAAGCTTGTTCATGGGAACTGCCTCCGGATCTCCTCTGCCTTCGTACTTTGTTAGGGCCGTCATTGTGTTAGAGAGACTCCATGGTCTCTCAAGCCAGATTTTCTCCCGAGTCTTGGCATCTTTGAAGGTAAAAATGAAAAGGTTTTGTGCTTGGGTTGGTTGGACTCCCACTTCTCCATACTTCCCCCAGGCATATCTGGCTGCTCCTGAAGCTTTCGCCAATGCCACCTTGTTCTCGGTGAGCATTTTCCCAAGTAGCATTGAGATACCCCTGCCAATGTTGGTACTCAGTTGTGGGCGAGCACCTTTGCCTCCTGACGAAGATGGATTGCTGCGTTCGGTGCTCAATCGGCCAGCCCTCTCAGTCAGATCATTGATGTCCATCTTGCTTCTCTTGCTCTGTTTTCTGTGGAGGCTGGACTTTGGATGGTTTGTGGTCGTGGGCAGAGACTGTAAGAGGAGGAAGAGGCTTCTTCTTGCAAGGTAAAGTGTTGTGCTTTCCTTCCTGCTTCTCTCCTCCTTCTTAAAAGCCCTGCCTCTACTTGAGGTAGCAATAACTCCCCCTGGGACTTGGTAGTTAACTTTCTTTTCCAAATCTTCATCGGGCCTCTGTCGAATAGATCTTCCCCTGCTCTGCTTTTCTTCTTTCTCAACCCTGGCTCTTGGCTCAAGGATCTCTCCACTCTGCCCCAAACAGGGCTTGTTGAATACAGTCTGCACTCTCCCCCCTTCCCTATTCAATCATACCCCCCTTCTCCTTTGCTTGTTCTGACATTGAAGAATCAATCCCCAGTCTGGTGGCTTCCAGATCCCCTCCTTCCTTATAGTTATTACAGAGCTTCCCTTGTGTTGTCTAGTCTCCTTTTGGCTCTTCACTACTGCTGCTCTTCTGTCTATTCCCTCTGCTTGCAGGCCATTAATACGAGGATTCTCTACTTGCTGGCCATTAACATCGATCTTCTGGTTGCTCTTGGGCAGAGCTGGAAAAGTCCCAGCAACGGGGACGGAAAAGGAACCGTTGGAAGGTTCAGAGAATATTTCCGTTAGAGAGAGAGAAGAGAGAGACATATTTTTAATTCAATGGCCTTCTCCCCCGGTAGAGTTAGTGAGGCAATTTCTGATCACATGACCTGATATGTTCCGCCTGTTTGTGGCGAGTATCACTCGAGTCGAGATATGAGCAATGCAGTTAAAATTGCATTTTAAGATGAAAGTTTTTAGGTTACTAAAATGCTTTTGTTTTCATAAAAAAATTTAGTGTATAAAATCGGACTAAATTGCTCTTTAAAGTTTAAAAGCTTACGCCTTTACGTTTCTAGTTCACCGAAACGCTTTACGCTTCCAGTTCACAAAATGAGGATTCTTTTCATGAAACTAATTATAAAAAGTATATTTTAAAGGTAAATTACCAACAATATGATACATTTGAGATTAAAAGATGCATACCAAGTAGTTGGATTGTTCTCAGCTTCAATAGATTAATTTAATTCACCAGCTATGCACTTCCCAAATTCATTAGCATAGAGAGAAATGTGGCTAGTTGTTAAGACCTATGTTTATGAACTTATTGTTAAGATACCATGAGTTGTTCTGCTTTAGACATGAATTGAAAGTATTTATTAACTTATCTAAATTTTGTGCACTCATATTTTACATAGTATATGTCATATTCAACAGTTTTTTAGCTATTTTACAGTGTGCGTAAAAAACAGGTTTTTTGTGAATTTCGGTGGCATATAATCTGGGCCATTTTGTAAAATTTAAAGGTACTAAGTGTCATGATAAAAAGATGGGTAATACCTTATTTTGGCCCGAACTATGACCATATAATCAACTTTGACTCGTGATTTCAGAAATTAACATCCTTACCCCAACTATGCAACATATAGACTCAATTAGCCGGGCACATGGTTTGACCGCCAATTTGGACGATCAACACGCCATGTCATTGCCTACTCAGCCTAAAAATTATTTAAAAATTCAAAATTCAATTATTTTCCTAATTTCAATTATTTATCATTAACAAATTAACCAAAAAATAAAATTATAAATAATTTTTTTTGGTAATTTGAAAACGATAAATTTTATAAATTAACAAAAAAAATCAATTATTTGAAATTTTCAATTTTTTTAGTTAATCTGAAAATGATAAATAATAGAAATTAGGAAAATAAATTGAATTTGAATTTTTTTAAATGATTTTTAGGCTGACAAGGTGATGACATGACGTGCTGACTAACGATCAACGGTGTTGACCGTCCAAATTGACGGTCAAACCATGTGTTGGCCCAATTGAGTCTATAGTGCGGTGAAGGGGCTTAGACAACGGATCTCCTGTCCCTTTACATTTTTACCATATCCATGGTATCTTTTCATGCTTGTTTCATAATGCCGCTATTGAGAATCAAGTCTCTTACCACCCTAGATGTAAGAAGTTGGACATTACGCATCTTTGTTTTGTGGATGATATATTGATTTTTTTCAATGGTTCTGTGAGGGCGGTTGCAAGAATTAGGATATAGTTGGATAATTTTTATTTGACTTTAAGGCTTAAGTGTAACGCTGAGAAAAGCTAGCTCTTCTGTGTGGCAATATCAGAAGAAGAGAGGCAGTTTATTTCGGCCAGTACTGACTTTCCCCTTTGCAGCCTCCCTGTTCGTTACCTGGGTGTTTCGTTGATTTCAGGTAAGCTCCGTAGGGTTGATGTCAGGTACTAGTGGATAAAATTACTGCTTGTATTAGAGAATGGAATTTGAAAACACTCACCTATGCAGGGAGAATTCAAGTAGTTTCTTTTTTTGTTTCCTGTGTTCTTCAATTTTGGATGATTTTTTTTGTTTTTCCGACAACAGTCCTTAAGGATATTGAGAAGATCTGCAATAAATTTTTGTGGGGGATGGGGAAGGTGGTGGTAAAACTAAGGCATTAACGGCTTGGTCTTATGTTGTTTTATTGAAGTCTAAAGGTGGACTAGGTCTAAGGGAATTTCGACTATGGAATAAGGCTTGTATTATTAGGCACCTGTGGTCGATCCTTGCTTGCAGTGGATCCATCTGGGTGGCTTGAACAAAGACGTACAGACTTATGGCTAAAACTATCTGGGAAGTCTCGGCTACCTCGGTGGAGTCTTGTGTTTGGAAGCGCATTATGAAACTTAGGATACTACTATTAGATTCATCACAGGTGCAAGGTCCGTCTCTTTGTTGGGATGGATATTCCATGCCTCGCTATTATGTTAATTAAGCGAGTTTGGCTGAGTATCAGAGTATCTTCTCTGATAGAATATGACTTGAATTTGATTTGGGTTTGTTTTGTGTTTGGGCCTATTTTGTTTGGGTTTGTGTTTGGGCTTTGTTTGACCTTTTCCTTGTATGTTTGGGAAAAGGTGTTTGGTTTTCTGTTTGGGATTAGGAGAAGAGTTCTATAAATACTCTTCATCACCCTAGTCTGTAGTAAGGTCATTCAGGTTAGTTTGTTTAGTTTGTCCGTTTGGAATTGGGTTTGCAATCTGTACTCTCCTCAAATTAGTGAAACTTGTTCTCCCTTGCCCGTGGATTAGCTAGCACACATTGTGTTAGTGAACCACGTTAAATTTGTGTTCGTTTGTGTTGGTTTGGATTGTCGTTTGCACGCTTCTGTTCTGATAAGTGGTATCAGAGACTTTGGTTGCGGTTTTGGGAATTTGGCGCTGGACTGAAGTTTTGCTTTGTGGAGTTTGGTTGGAGTTTGTTTGATAGTAAGAATGGCTGCTATCAGTATGAAGATTGAGAAGTTTACCGGAAGAAACAGTTTCAGTTTGTGGCAGATCAAGATGAAAGCACTGTTGAAACAACAAGGTTTGTGGGCTCCGTTGTCTGGAAAATCGAAGAAGGAAAGCATAGATGAAGAAGAGTGGTGAAACATCCCACCTCTTTGAATTTGGAAAAAAGACATTTCTACCCCGGGGTATAGTTAAAATCTCAAATAACACAAGTTTAAATAAAATACCAAACTTAAATATCTCAATATCTCAAATCGAAGCCCTAAACACGTGGGCTAAACTCAAATTGTCCAAAGGAAATGAATCTCCAATCCTTAACTCTTAACCATAAAGACTTAATAACTGGAAAAAAAGTTCTCTGATGCTTACTCTGACGCCTGGCTCGACATCTCTCAGCGACGATGGTGTTGAGTCCCTCTAGCTTGCTGCTCACGGACTGGCTGGTTAGGATTTCCTCCTCTACGATCTGGTGAGTGAGTTGGGGTCAGTCTGCGCCCTTACGATAAAATCTATGGTACTTTAGTATTCTTCTCTAAACACTTGACTTCTACTAGTGGAAGTTGTTTTGTACTTCCACTCTTAACACTTATAACTCAAAATTTCTTCGGGAGTTAAAGCTCCCTTCTCAAAGCTCAAAACTTGACTTAAATCTTTCGACTGACACTGGAATCCCTCACTAGCTAGTCCGGTTGCCAACTCATACGTATGAGAAGCCATCAAGGCTTTCCTTAAACTTAAACTTGGTTAGGGAAGTCGTAACGATTCATCCCCCTAACATCTTAAACTTATCGTGGTGGCTCTTCACCACGATTCTCAAGGGCATAATTGCTGCCCATCTTAAAAATCTCAAGAGCATAACTGCTGCTCTATCTCAAACTGTCTCAAAAGGCAACGGACTGGCGCTAGTGACTAAAAACACTTAAAATGACTTCACCTTCTTGAAGGTGAGTTACTTCTTAAAAAGAACTTGCTTCTTAACTTCAACAATAACTCTTATAAACTGAAAGTTTAAATATAAATAAAACTCATGCACATTCACATCAGGCATAGCTCATACAAAATCACCTCAAATAATAGCTCAAGCAAAGCACAAATAATCAAACATAATCATGTAATATCAACCATGAATCAAATACGGCATGCACATCACGTAAATCAATACTTAAAAATACTCGAAGCAAATACTGAAAAAACAGTAAGGCGTAGAATTTACCCCTTTACACTCACCTTGTAGATTAATTGTTGTCTAATGTAACCACCAACCAAAGATCCATCACCCAAGACTTTGACCTTCGAATCTTCTTCTCCCATGTTAATTCTCTTTTCTCATTATCCCATTATTCCTAAAGGACACATGATTACGTTTCTCCTCCCATGGATAATAGTCCAAAACATTTTATCGCAATCTATCCTCGCTGCCCGGTTTTGAAAAGGACAACCACCACCGCCTGTAACTTTCTTGCTTTATCGTCGTGTTTCACCCCACAACGGCATTTGCACTTGCTCCCTGCATCGAACAAAGGCCGACGAAGCACCCGAATATACGTCGAGCTCTCGTATCAATATCCAACCTTTTTTTTTTTTTTTTTACTCGCGTTCTTAGTGTCGGCACCCAAATCAACATAACCCTTCTTCAAAGCCAAGGGGAAATCGATCAGGCAATCACTACTTAATCCAATCCCAATCTGGCATCAATATCACCATCCACTGGTATTATATTCAAGGGAACTCGATCCTTACCTTTGAGATCGATTGGTTCCCGACTCCCGAGACCGCCACCGCACCCATCGACCTTGATTTTTTCTACGCAGAGAGCAAGTCCCTCTAAGTACTCCGTTGATCGAACTGTTGGGTTGTCGAAGGTAAGTCTCGTCGTTGCGGCTGATCTGTCTCTGGCCACCTCTCCTTCTCTTTCTTCTGATCTTTCCACCTTCTCCTCCCGATTGTAACGATGTAGGCTGTGGTGATGCCATGAAGATGGTGTCGGTTTATTAGAGTGATGGAGTGATTTATATGGGGGAGTGGGGAGTTTGATGGGGTTTGGAGAGATGGGGAGTGGCCGCTCGGCCCTCTCCTGTACAATTTATATATATATATATTTATATCTATATATTAATTAGTAATAATAATATAATAAATTATTATAACTAATTCACGGTTGTAAACCTTCGTACGTAATCGTTAACCCAACTGTTTTCGTATTTTTGTCGAACCTGAACCCAAAGTCAGGGTGTTACATTTCCTCCACCCTTATAAAAAAATTTCGTCCCCGAAATTTGAACGGTAGAGCAATCACTTGGACGAGTTAACGCTGTCTACGAAGGAACGATGCTAGTTGGGATATAACATTTCCCCCTCCCTTAAAGAAATTTCGACCTCGAAATTGTAGGCTGAACTGTATTGGTAGCTGTCGTGAAACCGGGGTATAGTTAAAATCCCAAATAACACAAGTTTAAATAAAATACCAAACTTAAATATCTCAATATCTCAAATCGAAGCCCTAAACACGTGGGCTAAACTCAAATTGTCCAAAGGAAATGAATCTCCAATCCTTAACTCTTAACCATAAAGACTTAATAACTGGAAAAAAGTTCTCTGATGCTTACTCTGACGCCTGGCTCGACATCTCTCAGCGACGATGGTGTTGAGTCCCTCTAGCTTGCTGCTCACGGACTGGCTGGTTAGGATTTCCTCCTCTACGATCTGGTGAGTGAGTTGGGGTCAGTCTACGCCCTTACGATAAAATCTATGGTACTTTAGTATTCTTCTCTAAACACTTAACTTCTACTAGTGGAAGTTGTTTTGTACTTCCACTTTTAACACTTATAACTCAAAATTTCTTCGGGAGTTAAAGCTCCCTTCTCAAAGCTCAAAACTTGACTTAAATCTTTTGACTGACACTGGGATCCCTCACTAGCTAGTCCGGTTGCCAACTCATACGTATGAGAAGCCATCAAGGCTTTCCTTAAACTTAAACTTGGTTAGGGAAGTCGTAACGATTCATCCCCTAACATCTTAAACTTATCGTGGTGGCTCTTCACCACGATTCTCAAGGGCATAATTGCTGCCCATCTTAAAAATCTCAAGAGCATAACTGCTGCTCTATCTCAAACTGTCTCAAAAGGCAACGGACTGGCGCTAGTGACTAAAAACACTTAAAATGACTTCACCTTCTTGAAGGTGAGTTACTTCTTAAAAAGAACTTGCTTCTTAACTTCAACAATAACTCTTATAAACAGAAAGTTTAAATATAAATAAAACTCATGCACATTCACATCAGGCATAGCTCATACAAAATCACCTCAATTAATAGCTCAAGCAAAGCACAAATAATCAAACATAATCATGTAATATCAACCATGAATCAAATACGGCACGCACATCACGTAAATCAATACTTAAAAATACTCGAAGCAAATACTGAAAAAACAGTAAGGCGTAGAATTTATCCCCTTTACACTCACCTTGTAGATTAATTGTTGTCTAATGTAACCACCAACCAAAGATCCATCACCCAAGACTTTGACCTTCGAATCTTCTTCTCCCATGTTAATTCTCTTTTCTCATTATCCCATTATTCCTAAAGGACACATGATTACGTTTCTCCTCCCATGGATAATAGTCCAAAACATTTTATCGCAATCTATCCTCGCTGCCCGGTTTTGAAAAGGACAACCACCACCGCCTGTAACTTTCTTGCTTTATCGTCGTGTTTCACCCCACAACGGCATTTGCACTTGCTCCCTGCATCGAACAAAGGCCGACGAAGCACCCGAATATACGTCGAGCTCTCGTATCAATATCCAACCTTTTTTTTTTTTTTTTTTTTACTCGCGTTCTTAGTGTCGGCACCCAAATCAACATAACCCTTCTTCAAAGCCAAGGGGAAATCGATCAGGCAATCACTACTTAATCCAATCCCAATCAGGCATCAATATCACCATCCACTGGTATTATATTCAAGGGAACTCGATCCTTACCTTTGAGATCGATTGGTTCCCGACTCCCGAGACCGCCACCGCACCCATCGACCTTGATTTTTTCTACGCAGAGAGCAAGTCCCTCTAAGTACTCCGTTGATCGAACTGTTGGGTTGTCGAAGGTAAGTCTCGTCGTTGCGGCTGATCTGTCTCTGGCCACCTCTCCTTCTCTTTCTTCTGATCTTTCCACCTTCTCCTCCCGATTGTAACGATGTAGGCTGTGGTGATGCCATGAAGATGGTGTCGGTTTATTAGAGTGATGGAGTGATTTATATGGGGGAGTGGGGAATTTGATGGGGTTTGGAGAGATGGGGAGTGGCCGCTCGGCCCTCTCCTGTACAATTTATATATATATATATATATATATATATATATATATATATATATTTATATCTATATATTAATTAGTAATAATAATTTAATAAATTATTATTACTAATTCACGGTTGTAAACCTTCGTACGTAATCGTTAACCCAACTGTTTTCGTATTTTTGTCGAACCTGAACCCAAAGTCAGGGTGTTACAAGTGGATTAGTTTGGAGGAGAAAGCTCACTCTACAATCTTGCTTTGTTTGGCTGATGACATAATCACTGAGGTTGCTGCTGAGAAGACTGCTGCGGGTTTGTGGTTGAAGCTTGAAAGTCTATACATGACAAAGTCTTTAACCAACAAGTTGCATATGAAGCAACGTTTGTTCAGTTTGCGTATGGAGGAAGGTACGTCTCTTAGGAATCATCTAGATCAACTCAATACTATCTTGCTAGATCTGCGGAATATTGATGTTAAAATAGATGATGAGGATGTTGTCTTAATTCTGTTAGTATCTTTGCCACAGTCATATGAGAATTTTGTGGATTCTTTTATTGCTGGGAAAGATAGTTTGTCTTTGGAAGATGTCAGATCAGCCTACATACTAGAGAGGTTCGACATAAGGCATCTGGTTCAGGTTCGGAAAATCAGGCATCTGGGTTGGCTGCTACGAGTAGTAGAAGACAACAATCTAGCAATAGGAAGGCGAATAGAAATTAGAATTCTGCTGGTTTGAAGGATGATATTGGAAATTTGATTGTCCTAAACTGAAGAAATATCGGGAGAAGAAGGAATCATCTGCTACTATGGCAGAAGAAACTAACTCTGATTCTGAAGATGGTTTAGCCTTAGCAGTGAATGAACAGGTACATCATCAGGATATGTGGTATTTAGATACTGCAGCTGATTATCATATGTGTCCAAGCAGGGAGTGTTTTTCAACTTATGAGCAGATAGATGGAGGACATGTTTCTATGGCCAATGGTGCTATCTGTAAGATTGTTGGAAGAGGTTCCGTCAGGATGAGGACACATGATAGTTCTGTTCGCACCTTGAACAATGTTAGGCATATTCCAGAGATGACTAAGAATCTGATATCTTTGAGTCTACTTGACAGCAAGGGTTTCAGTTTCAAAGGTGAAGGTGGAGTGTTGTCTGTCTACAAGGGTTCTAAGGTGATTTTGAAAGGTGTCAAACGGGGTGCCTTGTATGGTCTACAAGGTTCTGTTTTGACATGTTCTGTTGGTGATAAGTGCACCAAGCTGGTTTTGAATGGCAAGTCTCAGCATGGGTTGGACTTGCCGAATGGTTTGAGTTGTTGATCGCCCTTAGGGGCATTTGAAGGCAGGGGAGATTCTGGTACAGGTGATTTGGAGAAGTTTGGTACGTGTGACAATTTTAATTGCATCTGAGTTTGGCGATTTGCATCGCGTTTGGTCTGGCGATATGAATCGCATTTGGATATGTCTGGCAATCTTGATTGCGTTTGAGTTTGGCGGTTTCGATCGCATTTGGATACGTCTGGCGATATGTATCGCGTCTGGGTACATTTGGAAACTTTGGTTGCGTCTTGTACATCTAGTATTTGACAGAGAATTCAAGTCAAGGTGGAGATTGTTAGAATATGACTTGAATTTGATTTGGCTTTGTTTTGTGTTTGGGCCTATTTTGTTTGGCTTTGTGTTTGGGCTTTGTTTGACCTTTTCCTTGTATGTTTGGGAAAAGGTGTTTGGTTTTCTGTTTGGGATTAGGAGAAGAGTTCTATAAATACTCTTCATCACCCTAGTCTGTAGTAAGGTCAATCAGGTTAGTTTGTTTGGTTTGTCCGTTTGGAATTTGGTTTGTAATCTGTACTCTCCTCAAATTAGTGAAATTTGTTCTCCCTTCCCCGTGGTATAGCTAGCACACATTGTGTTAGTGAACCACGTTAAATTTGTGTTCGTTTGTGTTGGTTTGGATTGTCGTTTGCACGCTTCTGTTCTGACATTCTCCACAAGTGAGTTAGTAAGAGCTTATTTGGGGTAAGATTCTAATTCCCAAATATAGTATTCTGTCAGGGATGATTGTTTAGAACATAATCTATACAACTGATAAACTCCTACTGTGTGAGAATTCAGTACCTGCTTTCTGTGTGTTGTGCCTATATGTGGGCAGCGAGTCGTGTCGCCCACTGGCTAGCACGACACGGTTAGAGCACGACACGAGCACGGGCACGAAATAAATGGGTCAGCCCTGCACGAGCACGAATAATTTATGGGCCATGCCGGACCTAAACTTCATGGGCACTGGCACGAGCACGGGCAAGACACGATATATAAGTGGGCCGCATCGGGCCTAATATTTTCGAGACTTTATTGAGTATAAGAACAGACATGACATGAAAATAATATTTACTTGATAGAAAATAAATCTAAAAAGAATTATAGGTTTAAATATTACAAAACACAAGTAGAAAAATAATTATTTGTTGTTGTTAGAAGTATCATAAAGATATATACGTAATTACTAACATAAGTCAAAATGGACAAAGAATTAAACAAAGCCAAATCACAGTCGCTATACTTCCAATTTTCTTTTCCCCCTTATTTGTTACTTTTCTCAAACATTATCGGTTAATACTATATCCCCCTGTCCAATTTTCACCTTCTTTTTCATTCTCTCATTTGTTTTCGTCCTTTTCATTAAACACGAATACGAGCATGGCACGAGCACGAATATCCACGACACGCTTCGAACCGTGCCCGGGTCTGGGTAGGTCCTAGCAAAGTTAACAAATGGGCTTGCTGGTACGACACAAAAACTGACGGGCCCTGCCAAGCACAGCACGAAATAAATGGGCCTGAAGCATGCCCGTGCTGGCTCAAGCCCGGCCCAACGCCCATGTACTCAGTTGTGCCCTAGTAGCTTGGAGAGCATGGATCACTTGTTTGGTGTATGCTCCTCTTTTAGCTATTTTGCAGGCTAATTTTTTTGCTGTTTTACTCCCTACTCTTAGTAACTCGGATGATATTTTGACCAACCAAAGTCGCAATTTCAAACATTCCAGTTCCCACCTATTGCAAACAACCCTCCACCAAGAATCCCCTCTCTAACTCCCCTTTGCAGTTGACAGAGCGAACCTCATAGCCTAGTTATGATCTTTTTTTCTTTGATGTTTGTGAATTATAATGATCTTGTAGTGCTTGTGTTTGATGTCTTACTAGTTGGTACTCTCTAATTGGATGAACAAGTTCAATTATTTCTTCTTTATGCATCAAAATGTGGATTTAAATTATGAATTCATGATAAATGTTGTATTAATATTGTTTCTTATGATTATTATTTTATGCTAACAATGTAGACATGTAGTTAAATTAATTTGAATTATTTGTAGGATTATTCATCTTTAATATTTAGTACTCTTAGTCATTCTTATGTTTGTTGATTGAAAATGATATTACATGACACTTGTTACACTTAATTAGATGATAATTTGCGTATTACAAGCGGTTATTGCTTCGGTTTATGATAGTTCGTGAAAGACAATCGAAGCATTGGTTTTCCCAGGTATAGCCGTAGTTCTTGGAATGTATGTTAGTTATTATTGGTCCAAACTAACCGCTAACCGAGCCGATAAGAGATGGTTAACCAATAATGATTATCGGTTTGGTTATCAGTATGAGTTTTTGCTTATTGGTTAATCGCTAACCGTCATATCAGTTAGTGGTTAACTGAAACCGAACCGACTAGCACCCCTAATTAAAAGGAATTGATTCATTAGCTTAGTTAAGGGTGAAGACAAAAGTGAATCATCATTTACAAAAAAAAATGACATTTCAAAAAAATTATAAGAAAGACAAAAGCAAATCATCATATTCAATGGTTCATTTGCTTCTTAAATTTGCATTGATTTTAGCGGTTGCAACTGCAAGTATTTAAAAGTTATTTTTCAGCTTTGAATTACATCAAGGTCAAGTTTCTAAATTGAATACACGATTCGTTTATTAATGAGTTGTAGTGAGAAAAAATTGTTAAAAAACGGTTAATGTGACAAAAAAACATTATAATTATTGAGAGTGTTTTACAAAAAATTTCATAATATGAAAACACGACATCATAACATGATATTTTGTTGGGTCCAAGTTCCCGTCAGTAACCCAATGGTTACTCATGGTGAGTAAAAAAATCTCAGCCATCAGATTTAACTGGACCCAGAAAATTCAAATCTAAGGATGAAGAATTAAATGCATTTTTATTTTTCTTTGTTTTCTTAATCGACTCATATCTTCTTCGTTTTAACTTGGATTTTAATTTTTTTTTTGTTTTTGCACCAATGGAACGAGTTTGTTGTGCTTTACAAAATGAGGTCCATTTTAAATATTTTATTAGAAAAAATTCTTGCCTCTCATTACCAACTGCATACCATATGATATCTTCTTCGTTTTTAAGTTATTTTTTAAAACTTTTGCACAGAATGAACAAGTTCATCATGATCTATTGGATCACAAATTTCTGGGTGAACAAAATATAGGACAAAAAAATACCACACTATACCACCCTGGTACGGGGTGACATCTTGTGGTACAAAATTTTCAAAGTCATAAATGACAATTAGTATATACCTACTGTCATGTATTCAATCGTCATACAGTCTTAGTATGTTCATATCACCATGGTAAGTTTTTTCATACCATATGGTATGTTCTTATTTAATAACAGTCAATACCATATGGTATATAAGTAAAAAAATGACTCAAATGTTTTTGTTCCAAAAATATATCGAAGTGGATATCATTTTGAAAAGCACGATTAATCTGAACTAAGTGTGCAAAAAAAAAATCAACTTAAAGCGATTGATAAATCGTCTGTTAAAAATTAAGGTGGAAAAATTAAGGGGTCGTTTGGATTAGATTTTAATAACGAGGGATTTTTAAAAAAATCTCTCATTTAAAATACAAGGAATTTTATATGCAGGATTACACTGAAATAACTCGTTTGGATTGATACGCAGAATTTTAACATAAACATCCAAATTACATTATTGTCCTCATCTTCTATCCTTCGTCTTCTTCCCCTTGTTCTTCATTTGTCAATTTTTGTCCTTGGCCATTGTTTCAGTCCCTCGTAATCATATCAAAACGAAAATTAATTGAATAAAAAATGGGCGATTGAAACCCAGATTGCGCAGAGATAAAACAAAGAAAGAATGGATGTTGCAAATTTCCACAAAAACGAAGCACAAAGATATTGTTACTACTAGCAATCCATAATCTAATGAATTCCAGAATACCCAAATAACAACAAATACCAAACGTACAATGAAACCCAGAATACCAAACGAATAATGATACCCAAAAATTTCAATGAGAAAGAGGAAATAAAGAAGTAGAGGGAGAGCGAGGAGAAGGGATCTGAGAGATCGGATTCATAGAAGATATTTGGTGGGTCTCTACGTCTTTTGGGTTGTGGTGCTTCTCGCTGTCATTGGTCATTACGTCCATGGCGGCCATTTTAGGGAATCCGCCGCTGATGGAGGACGGCGCTGAATCGCACCATCTCAGGGGATCGGTCACTCATTGCCGGTAGCTACGAAACATAATGCTCACCATGGAGAATTCACGCTCAATCGAGACTCTTTTCAAACACGAAGTCGGGAAGCTGCTGGATTGGCGCTCAATCGACGCAACCTGGTCCAAGAATCGAAACTCTCTTCGGAACCCACAATCTGAAATCAACCTTTCGTTTGAAACCCAAATCTCTAGCAACAAAACGAAGTGGGAGAGGAGGGAAATTCGACCAAGTGAGAGATGGATGCACTTTAGGTGATGGAAGGGAGAAGTCGACGTTGAGATGAACTGGATAGATACTTGAGGGCAATGGTTGGAAATGAAAAAAATAAGAATGAGGGATTGTAAAATAGCTTATCGTCATCAGTTATTTTAAAAACCCACATATGAGAGTTTTTAAAATCACTAATTACAAAATCCTTCATCTTTCCCAAACGTAGAATTGTTTTAAAATCCTGCATAACTAATAAATTCCTCAATAAATTTCGGCATCCGAACGACCCCTAAAGGTTTTGTATGAGATAAAAGGGAGTTGTCAGAACAGAAGCGTGCAATCGATAATCCAAACCAACAGGAACGAACACAAATTTAACGTGGTTTACTAACACAATGTGTGCTAGCTAATCCACGGGCAGGGGAGAACAAATTTCACTGATTTTGAGGAGAGTACAGGTTACAAACCAAATTCCAAACGGACAAACCAAACAAACTAACCTGACTGACCTTACTACAGACTAGAGTGATGAAGAGTATTTATAGAACTCTTCTCCTAATCCCAAACAGAAAACCAAACACCTTTTCTCAAACATACAAGGAAAAAGGTCAAACAAAGCTCAATCCCAAACCTTAATAGAATAGGCCTAAAACACAAAACAAACCCAAATCAAATTCAAGTCATATTCTAACAATCTCCACCTTGACTTGAATTCTCTCTCAAATACCAGATGTACCAGACGCAACCAAGGTTGCCAGATGTACCCAAACCGCAACCAAAGTTGCCAGATGTACCCAGACGCGATACATATCGCCAAACGTATCCAAATGCGATCGAAACCGCCAAACTCAAACGCGATGCAAAATCGCCAAACTCATATGCAATCAAAAATTGTCAGACGTACCAAACTTCTCCAAATCAGCTGTACCAGAATCTCCCCTGCCTCCAAATGCCCCTAAGGGAGGTCAACAACTCAAACCATTCGGCAAGTCCAATCCATATTGAGACTTGCCATTCAGAACCAACTTGGTGCACTTATCACCAACAGAACATGTCAAAATAGAACCTTGTAGACTATACAAGGCACCCCGCTTGACACCTTTCAAAACCACCTTAGAACCCTTGTAGACAGACAACACTCCACCTTCACCTTTGAAGCTGAAACCCTTGCTGTCGAGTAGACTCAAAGATATCAGATTCTTAGTCATTTCTGGAATATGCCTAACATTGTTCAAGGTGCGAACAGAACCATCATGTGTCCTCATCCTGACGGAGCCTCTTCCAACAATCTTACAGATAGCACTATTGTCCATAGAAACATGTCCTCCATCTATCTGCTCATAAGTTGAAAAACACTCACTGCTTGGACACATATGATAATCAGCTGCAGTATCTAAATACCACACATCCTGATGATGTAACTGTTCATTCACTGCTAAGGCTAAACCATCTTCAGAATCAGAGTTAGTTTCTTCCGCCACAGCAGCAGATGATTCCTTCTTCTCCTGATATTTCTTCAGTTTAGGACAATCAAATTTCCAATGTCCTTTCTCCTTGCAGTAATGACAGATATCATCCTTCAAACCAGCAGAATTCGAATTTGTATTCACCTTCCTATTACGAGATTGTTGTCTCCTACAACTCGTAGCAGCCAACCCAGATGCCTGATTTTCCGAACATGAACCAGACGCCTTATGTCGAACCTCCCTAGTATGTAGAGCAGATCTGACATCTTCCAAAGACAAACTATCTTTCCCAGCAATAAAAGAATCCACAAAATTCTCATATGACTGTGGCAAAGATACTAACAGAATTAAGGCAGCATCCTCATCATCTACTTTAACATCAATATTCCGCAGATCTAACAAGATGGTATTGAGTTGATCTAGATGATTCCTGAGAGACGTACCTTCCTCCATACGCAAACTGAACAAACGTTGCTTCATATGCAACTTGTTAGTTAAAGACTTTGTCATGTATAGACTTTCAAGCTTCAACCACAAACCCGCAGTAGTCTTCTCAGCAGCAACCTCAATGATGATGTCATCAGCCAAACAAAGCAAGATTGTAGAGTGAGCTTTCTCCTCCAAAGTAATCCACTCTTCTTCATCTATGCTTTCCTTCTTCGATTTTCCAGACAACGGAGCCCACAAACCTTGTTGTTTCAACAGTGCTTGCATCTTGATCTGCCACAAACTGAAACTATTTCTTCCGGTAAACTTCTCAATCTTCATACTGATAGCAGCCATTCTTTTTATCAAACAAACTCCAACCAAACTCCACAAAGCAAAACTTCAGTCCAGCGCCAAATTCCCAAAACCGCAACCAAAGGCTCTGATACCACTTGTCAGAGCAGAAGCGTGGCAATCGATAATCCAAACCAACAGGAACGAACACAAATTTAACGTGGTTTACTAACACAATGTGTGCTAGCTAATCCACGGGCAGGGGAGAACAAATTTCACTGATTTTGAGGAGAGTACAGGTTACAAACCAAATTCCAAACGGACAAACCAAACAAACTAACCTGACTGACCTTACTACAGACTAGAGTGATGAAGAGTATTTATAGAACTCTTCTCCTAATCCCAAACAGAAAACCAAACACCTTTTCTCAAACATACAAGGAAAAAGGTCAAACAAAGCTCAATCCCAAACCCAAACAGAATAGGCCTAAAACACAAAACAAACCCAAATCAAATTCAAGTCATATTCTAACAGGAGTGATGTGAATGATGGTTATTGGATTATGAATGGTTAATGGTAAGGTTATGCATACAATAAAAAAAATGGTAAGGTTATGCATAGGAATTAATCCCATTTTATTGTAATTTTTACTAATAATATCTAATTTAATTTTAGAAGATAACAACAAAATTCATGTGTCTGCATTCATAAAAAAAAATTGATAGCTACCAAGCAGAGCAGAGCGGGGCGGCGTACGGATGACAATTTCGACCTGACCTGATTTACCTGACCTGTTTGACCTGTTTTGGGGCGGGTCAGGTTGGGCGGGGCGGGAATGGGTACCTCTCATTGACCCGACCTGCCCTGACCCGCCCCATTCTCGACCCGTCCTCAAATTACTTAGATTTTTCCTCTGATTACATCATATTTTAGGTATAATAAAGTTGTAAATAAGTTAAAAACTCAATTTCTCCAATAATTTAACTACATTTTATCAAATTATGGTGGATAAATGACAGAAATATAGTTTTTTTTTTAATTTACCACGAATATGGCCAATTAAAAACTATTTACAGAGATATTGTGGTTTTTAATAAGGATTGGGGCGGGACCACCTGAGACTCAGGCGGGACTAAATTTTTACCCAGTCCTGGGCGCCGGCGCCCCAGTCTCAAGCGGCCCCGCCTCAGACAAATTTTTTTAATTAGTCTGAGGCGCTGGCGCCCGAGACTCAGGCGGGAGCGCCCCGGACTAATTTTTTTTAAATTTTGGACGGGCCCTCCCACCTTATCCCCTCCCCACCACCACAATTCCTCCCTTCTTCTTCCTCCCCCCAACCCCGAACCAGCAGACCCCTCTCCCTCCTTCTTCTTCCTCCACCCCAACCCGAACCGCCGCCCGCCGCCCGCAGCACCGTCCCAGACTCAGGCGCCGCCGCCGCACACTCGGGCGCCGCCGCCGCAGAGAGGAGCGCCGCCGCCGCAGAGAGGAGCGCCGCCGCCTTGGACTGAACCACCGCCGCCCGAGATGTCCTCCGACGAAGAACCAGTCGCCGCCGGCAGAGGCAGAGGTAGAGGTCGGCGAGGTCGTGGTGGAGCCGGCGGCCGTTTGCGCGGTGAGACTCTCGTCGGCAGTTTGATTTTTTTTTAATGTTTTGTGTTTTTTTTAATGTTTTGTTGCTTTGGTTTTGCAGTTCCGAGGCTTATGGATCCTTATTCGATGAGATTACCGCCGGCGACAATTGATCCAAGTCCGGTCGATCCGACACTTCTTTGGGGACACGGCCAACATCGTATCGACTCTGTTTGGACAAACGAGGTAAGTATTTGATAATTATTCATGTAAAGTTAATTAGCTAATTAGATTATTTTAGATAGTGAACTGAACTGAACTGTTAGGTGAAATTAGTATAATTTTATGTTAGATAAGACAGATTAGAATTTATTAGGTGAAATTAGAATTATTACGAATGAAAATGAATTAATATAAGTTTTGTGCACTATAGGCTGGTGATCGACCGTACCATGTTCGAGGTACGACCATTTTAGTACCTTACCATGAGCTTTATCGGCCATATCTCGAAGCGGCAGGCTTGTTTAGTGTCGTGCCCCTAGTCCCTATGAACCCCGATGCTAGTTTGATTACTGCGCTCGTAGAGCGGTGGCGCCCCGAGACGTCGACCTTCCATCTACCGTGTGGTGAGATGACGATCACGTTAGAGGACGTTGTTACACTGTCCGGTCTGGCGATCGATGGTGATGCCGTCGTAGTTGATATACCGGATGAGGAGTGGTCGGCGATCTGTTTGAGACTGTTGGGACGAGTTCCGGCCGATCTTGTAGGCAGTGTCGCTGTTGTTAGGATTGTTTGGCTGAGGGTTGAATTCAGTCATCTGCCGGAGAATGCATCACAGGAGGTTATAGAGCAGTTTGCACGAGCTTATGCTCTATCTCTGCTTGGAGGTGTACTTTTCTCGGATCGGTCTGGAAGTACGGTGCACCTACAGTACCTACTTCTGATTGAGGATTGGGAGAGAGCTGGACGGTTTGCCTGGGGAGCTGCTGTTTTATCCTACCTGTACCGTGAGATGGGTAGGTCGACTTTGCACATTACGCATACCGGCACTTCTCTTAGCGGTGACCTTGGTGGATGGGTCGCCCTACTGCAGTTTTGGGCGTGGGAGCGATTCCCACATCTGGCACCTCGAGACGAGGAGACGAGGGCACAGGCCACCGAGGATGCATTCCCACGTGGTCTTCGATGGCTTTCGGCCAACAGTCGTCAGTATGGTGACCAGCTATTCCAGTACAAGCTGTGGTTTGACGCGATGGACACCGTGGTGGTTAGTATATAACATTTCATTTTATATAATAGTTTTCATTTGTTTTATTTTTTTAGATTTAGGGATAATAACGATAATTTTTGGATTTAATGTAGTGGCAACCTTACTTTGAGAGAGCACTTCATCTCAGAGGTAGTGTGCTACAGTCGGAGAAATTTCGAGCAGTAGTGCCACTTATCTGCTTTTCATCGGTGATGTGGCACATCCAGACCGCGTGCTCCGGCAGTTTGGCATGAGACAGCATGAGCCTCATCAGCCACATTCTGAGGCTGAGGTTAGGTTTTTTCTTCGCCAGGCTACTCGTGGGCCATCGCGTGGGCAGCAGTTGGTACACGCCTCCAGAGAGTCGATTGCTTTCTGGAACCGTCGACACGAGTTTGTAGCGACGGCTCCATATACTGATGAGGAGTTAGCCTACCACTCGGAGCATATGGAGTGGTATAGAGATGTCACCAGACGATCCGGCACACGGAGAGGAGCTGCAGCAGAGGCGTTGGTTAGTTATTTGATTTATTTGCTTAATTTGTTGTTAATTGTGTGAAATATCTGACATTTTTGTTGGTGTTTTTTAGTACGACACTATCGAGCATGCTGAGGTGAGTTTGCGTGACGGTGTACGGTCTGGAGGGCTGACCCCCGACCAGTGTGAGGACTTGGCCAACTTTATGGCATCTGGGGTTGCTGCTCTAGGGTTTGAGAATCGTAGATACCCTGATCTCACAGTACCTGTACAGCGCCATTATGAGGGGCCCGTCATGACTGCCTGGCCAGAGCGTACTGATCCGACACCGGGCTGGGTCGTCCCAGAGCCACAGTTCAGACAGGAGCATAGGCCACGTAGACAGAGACGTGAGCATCGTGATGCACCTAACCCATTTCGGGTTTCCGATCGACAGCGAGCACAGCCCATCCGGCCTACATCGAGGAGCTTCCAGTTTAATCCGCCTCGGACGCAGTTTCAGTCAGATCCTTCCTCGAGCTTTCAGCCGCCGCGACGACAGCAGTTTCAGTCAGATCCGTCATCGAGCTTCTATCATCCAGAGGATAGCTTCCATACACCGCAGCATGCTACGATGGGAAACATGGCATCAGGTGGTGATACTAGAGCAGCGGCGACTCCCGACCTGTGGCAAGAGGGTGATGAGGTGTTTAGGGAGACGATGTGGATCCATGAGCAGCACCTTCAGTCTCAGCGTAGTGGTGGCGGTCAGCCTGATGAGCATCTTCAGTCTCAGCAGGATGAGATGTTCGGTACACAGGACCAGGATGGTGGAGTTGAGGAAGATGAGCCCCAGGAGTATGATGGTAGACCAGTGCGCATCAGGGTGCCTGCTAGGTGTGGTACTGGCGGCCATCTAGCGGTGGAGCATGGTGGTCGTCGTGGTGGTCGTCGTGGTGGTCGTCGTGGTGATCATCAGTGAGACTATTATGTACTTCCTTCAGACGTTTATTTTTGGATTGTTATTATTATGTACTTCCTTCAGACTATTATTTTTGGATTGTTATTATTATGTACTTCATTCAGACTATTATTTTTGGATTGTTATTATTATGTACTATAAACAAACAACAACATCTCAAGCAACAACATCTCAAACAACAACATCTCAAACAAACAACATCTCAAACAACAACATCTCAAACAAACAACATCTCAAACAAACAACTTTTACATGGTAAATCAAAAGATAACAACAACATACCAAACAACAACATCTCAAACAAACAACAACTTTTACATGGTAAATCAAAAGAAATATAACAACTTCTACCACCTCTCAGCCACGTCTATTACCTCTACTTCCTCTTCTACCACCTCTCGTACTTCGTTGGCCACCACTCCCTCCTCGGTTGCTCCCACTCCTACTAGCTTGGCCGCCGCAAGTTGATGCATTATGTCCCGCTTGGTTACAGTTGCTGCACACTTGGTGTGATGCACCCTCCCTTGGCCAGTCCATCTCGTTGTGGATCCTTGTAACTCGTGGCCTCCCCGGCTTCCTAATCATGTGCACATTAGGATGGAGAATAGGACCATTATGTTTCTTCCAACCCTTAGGTTCACCAAGAGGTGCGAAACTTGTCCCATAACAAGCCATCACTGTTTCCAGCTTGTAGACATTGTTGACAAACCTATACGCATTAGCCCCCATTCGGTTGCAAGCTGCAATGGCATGAGAGCAAGGAATTTTATTTCCTTGAAATTTACCACAAGTGCAAAATCCTGCCCGGTTTTGATCGTCAAAGTGAACTGTGAGTGTGTTTGACCCTGTCATGTTGAAATTGTTGGGAGGAGTCTGAACTACATAGATGCCTTGACCTCGATCAAGAGCTGTCACAGAATGTCCAATTGCCTTTTGTGACCTGTACTTCATTAGCTCTTCGCACTTGTTGGAGTACTGTGAACCGCCACTTCTAATTTCTGCTCCTGTCTCCAACCTATACATATCGAATTTCTCCACCAATCGCCAATAGGTATGCTGCACAAGAGAAGCTATCGGAAGTGCACGAATACCTTTGAAAACACCATTGACGCTTTCTGCCATGTTGGATGTCAGGATAGACCAACGACCCCCACCATTGTAGTTATCATGTGCTAAACTCCAACGAATCTGATGTTGATCCACCCAGTTATCACATGAAATATTTCTATCAGCGGCCACCTTCTTAAATTGCTCAACTTGACGATCAAACTTCTCCAACCGTTTTTCTCCGGCTAACAAAATAAACCACAACACGTGTTAGATAAATTCATGACAAAATTACATGAAAACAAATAACAAAATTAAATGAAGAAAGCTTACCGACTCGAAATAGTTGATTATACATAATTTTGCTTCGAGTCTTCCTTTGCAAATTGCTTGCATAGTGTCGCATGCACCACCTCCACTCCCAACCTCTTCCGATGTTATTCATGGCTTCATAGAGTCTTGCATGTCTATCTGAGATGATGCATACATCATTTCGATCAGTCAAACCCTGAACCTTCCTCATGAACCATGGCCAACTCTCAGTATTCTCGCTCTCCACTATGGCAAATGCAATTGGAAAAATCTTCCTCCGGCCATCAAATGAGCTCGCCATGAGTAGCACTCCTTTATACTTCCCAGTAAGAAATGTTCCATCCACAACCATGACGCCTGGACAATTCTTGAATCCATCTATACAAGGTCCATAAGCCCAGAATACTCGCTGAAATATTAAATGACCAGGTTGAGTCGAAGGAACTGTTACCCAATCAATCACCGATGTTGGCATTTTTCTCTTGACCACCCGCAAGAATGTTTGCAAAAAATCGTAGGATTCTTCCCAATTTCCATGCAACTTCTCCAATGCTCTTTGTTTCCCATACCAAGCCTTCTTGTAAGTAACTTGCATATTAAACTTATCTTTCAACTCGGCTTGAACAGTTAGAACACTCAGATTTGGTTGGGCACGTACCAAATGTTTGACGGCCTCAGATATCATGTCGACATCAAGATGGCGATGATCCGTCGGTTGAGTCGTACTGCTACAAGAATGCACCAACTCAGTTTTTCTCACAGTCCATTCGCCCCCAACATCTCGACATCCAAACCGCACCATCCAAGGACAATTGTCATCCTTGTGCCTCAAACATCTGACCTTCCATATTGAAGGTGACGACTCCACCACGCCATATAGAAAGTTGCGTTGTAGTGCGTGGTGTTTAATCGCCATCTGTGCAGCTTGTTTCGAGTGAAATATCTGCCCCTTGTAGAATTCTCTTTCAAAACTATCAACAATAGGCATTGGAATTACGCCATATGAATCAGCAAGTGCAAATTCTTCGTCATCTTCATTGCCCTGCAAGTAAAAATATGGAGGATAATTAAGTTGCTCTCCTTCCTCCTCCTCCTCCTCCTCCTCCTCATCTTCCTCCTCTCCGTCATCACCGTGATCATAGTCATGATCGGATGGCACGCTCCATGTATCATCTTCTTCCTCTCCACCCTGATCATCACTGAGCTCAACATGTATCTCAGCACCCAAACAATAAGGATTTTGTGCCATAAAATTCCAAAGCACATCCAAGCTATCATCATCCACAATAGGTAACGCATAATGAAATAAAACATCATTCTGCCATTCTGGAAGACGGTAAGTGAAACCTGTGATCACATCACTATCTTTTACTGCTTCGTCTGTAACATCCCGTTACGGCAAAACCCATATTTCGATCGCTAGAAAATTTCACGATTTAAAATCGAGCATTTCGACACTATTTTGACGAAAATCGGATTATCGATCGATCGGATAAGTATACGTATTAATTATATATATAATATATTATATATATATATATATATATATATATATATTAGTAAGTAGTCGGAGAGGCAGAGCCATTATTTCTTCTTCTTCTTTCATTCGGTTGAGAGAAAGCCGAGAAGCAGAGCTCGCACAGAGCTCATATGAAAAAATTTCAAAGCTCCAAATCTTGAGTTCTACTGATCCAAAAATCCCGTAAGTAATGCCTAATTCATCTATACATCGTGTTTTATCGATTTAGAGCTTTAAAACGAGTTTTTGGTTCAGGAATTTCTTGAATTCCCGATCAGCCAAATTAGGGTTTCGGAGTATCCGGAAGCCGGATTGAGCCCAAATTTCATATACGAGCTTCCTGCAGCGAGGTAATCAATCATCTAGTTCTAATCCCTGAATTTCGGCTATTATTTAGGCCGGGGTCCAAACCGCTGAATTTAGCTCCGGCCAGGGTTTGATGTGTTTTTATCGAGAATTTGACCCGGAGCCTAGAACTAATATTGACGGGGATACTGCAGGGGATATTAGGACGGTCTCGGATTTTAATTCGGGGTTCGTTTGTGAAATTGACGTTTTAGTACGGGAGGCTAGAACCGGTGTTTGAACGACCAGAACTGGTGAGGGATTAGCACGGCATACCGGGTTTGTCGTATCACGATAATTATATTGATGCTTAGAATTGATCTAGGTGAATTAGAATGACATGATTAGGGGTGTATGAGCTTTTATGCTATATGATGAACCATGGATTGTTGTATGATATTATTGACTTGCCCTAGCCGATATGAACCTTGTTTATGTTGATGATTGCATACATATTGCCATTTGTGGCTTAATTGTTGATATGACTTCATGGTTGTTCGATAAGGGGTTTTGACATGGTGTGATATTATGGTTGTATTTGGATCCATAAGTGGGGGAATAAACTTCCCAGGGTGATATTATGATATTTAAGGAGGATGACTTGCACGAGGGTTTATCCCGAGGAAGTGCAATTATACGACTCCTGGTTTACCTATGTTGAGCCAATTATGGGCAGGTCAAGTACATGTGCAAGTAACGAATTATGATTAAGCAAGATGATATATGAATCATGTATAAGGATACCAAATATGAGTGTTGTGGTCTCACGGTCAACTACATAGTAATTAGGGCTCCCTATGCTATTACTCTATTATGATATGTATGATAGTCACACCTCTCATGTGGTGGTGACTGAAGAATTCTTACGAGATATGACCACACCCAGAGCGGTGTTGGGGTATGACTACACCCATAGTGGTGTGGGGTATGTATGACCACATCCGACGGGATGTTGGGGTATGTATGACTACATCCGACGGGATGTGGGGTATGTTTCCCGGGAGAGTTATTAGCATGGGAGTAGCCAGGCGCCTATGATTAAAACATGATAAGATGCATATGCATAAGTCAAAGTGGTTGAGTCTTTTTCTTATTGGGATATGAGGATGGCTGAGGTCCGATCCTAGTGTTTTGGCTTGTTTGCTAGATGTATGGTAGGGGTATGCTCTGTTATGAACTCACGATGCTATGATTATCTCACTCAGCTATGAGCTGACCCTCTTTTATTCTTCTTCTCTGCTTATGCTATGTGTAAGCAGATCATCAGCAGCAGCAGTAGATAAGTGTTAGGTGGGAGAGGAGCTAGAGTTGAAGCCAGGATGAGGTATGGTCTTCAACTATTCTGTGCTTGGACTACTACTTGGGATTTTGGCCAGTGATCCACACCTTTTTGTAAAAATGTTTTGAGAACATTTTCATGTGCATACTAGCTTCGAATGTAGTGTGAGATATCCACAGGTGTGGAAAGTTAATGATATGTGTATATGTTGTGTAACTGTGTAAGTTGTGACGATTATGGTATGTATAAGTATGGTATGCAGTTAGGAAGTATGAAAAGTGTGACTATGGCTAAGAAAAGCCAATGCATATGGTTGTGAGTATATATGTTTGTGATGAATTATTTTGCAGGTTAAGTTGCAAGAACTGTTAGCCCATTACGCGAGTTATTCATGTCGAAATTTTATTTAGGTAAATTTTGATAATTAATGTAACGCCCGAGATTAATTCCGCTGCAATTGTATAAACAATATGATTAGGCAAAACGTATAGGGTAGGGTGTTACAGTTTGGTATCAGAGCCCGGTTCCCTCTTTTTGCTGTTATGGCGTACTATACCCTATCGGAGGTTAAACACTCCTAAGGAGGGGAGTGCCCCATAATGACTTAAACTGGGAATTGAGTTTGACATGATTATGTGTATTGGTATGTTGGATGAAATTATCTGCATCATGGTTTTCAAAATTGAGTTTTGAACTTCTATGTTTTCAAGTAATTATTTTGGAAAATTTTTGTTTTAACCAAGTGAGAAATTTGGTGAGGAATGAATTTTGTGTGGATCAATCTAAGGCCAATATTTCCTTGTAGCTCGCACGGAAGTTGTGAAAATGTTCCTACTGACCAGTCGAGAGGAGTGGGGGCGGTTGATGCAAGACCGCCAGTATTAGACTATGCAAAGATGAAGAGTTTGGGTGGTAGGGACTTTAAAGGAGATGTGAGTCCGGATGCTGTGGTAGAGTGGTTGAGGGAGATGGAAGATGTGTTTGAATATCTTTATGCGACCCCAGAGGAAAAAGTACAATATGTTGTTTTTCTCCTAAAGGGGTACGCGAGGAGCTGGTGGTCTTCAGTCTCTAGAGTTAATGGTGAACGAGTTCAGTTCACCTGGGAGGAGTTCCTGAAGGCCTTTAAGACAGAGTTTCTTCCCGAAGCTTTTATCAGGGCAAAGAACAATGAATTTGCCAACCTTAAGCAGGAGAATATGACAGTTACTGAGTACACCATCAAGTTTGTTCGACTGCTTTACTTTGAGGATGGGTTGGCGGATACTGAGCAAAAGAAGAAGATGAGATACTTGCATGGTCTGCGCATAGGATTGAAAGAAAAGATCCACAGGGTTGATGAAGAGAGCATGGCCACAATCAAGGAGGCTGCACTTAAGTATGAAGCCTATGAAGTTGAGAGCCGAGAGGAACACAAGGCTAAAGAAGAGGAGAAGAAGAGGAAGTTTGGAGTAAATTATGCTGGACCTCGTTACCCACCCAGGAGAGGTCCTAGCAGTTTTGGGAGAACACAGAGTCAATCTATGTCGGGAACATCATACAGGGCACCAATTTCCTCAGCCACACAATTTCCATTTTGTCAAGTTTGTCAGAAGAGGCATCTTGGAGAGTGTAGGAGATTTTCTCGTGTATGCTTTCAGTGTGGCCAACCTGGGCACATCATGAGGGATTGCCCGCATTCGAGAGAAGTAAGAGCTACACAGTCCGAGCCTTCAGTGCAATTTAGTAGAGCCCCATTCAGGGGTGGTTACCAGGGAGGCCGTAGTGGATTTCAGAGTGGTCGTGGTGGTTCACAGGGTGGTAGAAGTGGTGGTCGAAATCAACCATCAGGAAGTGGTACGCAGGGTACCAGAGCACAGGGAGCACCAAGGGTTTATGCAATGACTCGAGGTGAGGCAGAAGTGGCACCAGAAGTTGTGACTGGTATGCTTTCTATCCTTGGCAAGCAATTATATGCTTTGATCGATACTGGTTCCTCTCACTCATTCATGTCATATACGTTTGCACATATGCTACGTTTAGTTCCAGATAAGCTAGGCTATACCTTATGTGTTAAAACACCTGTGGGAGATACCTTGAAGGTAGACTCAGTTATTAGAAGTTCCTTCATTTGTGTGGAAGGAGCTTTCCTAGCAGCAGATTTAATTCTGCTACCTTTTGATGAATTTGATGTCATCCTTGGAATGGACTTTCTGGCAACACATGGAGCTGTTGTGGATTGTCAAAAGAAAGAAGTGTTATTCAACACACCAGATAAAGGTCCTGTTGTATTCCGAGGCATTAAGAAAAAGGAGACTCGTGGTTTTCTTTCTGCCTTGGAAGCTTTTCGATTAGTGAAGGAAGGTTGTGAAGCCTTTCTTGCTCAAGTTACTATAGTAAATGATAAGAAGGTTGAGGATGTAGAGGTGGTAAGGGAATTTCCTGATGTATTCCCCGAAGAACTTCCCGGCCTTCCACCAGAAAGGGAAGTAGAGTTTGATATTGAATTGGTACCTGGCACAACACCAATTTCAATGGCACCATATAGAATGGCACCAATTGAGCTGAAGGAGCTTAAAGAACAATTGCAAGAATTGTTAGATAAGGGGTTTATTCGACCTAGCATCTCACCTTGGGGTGCACCGGTTTTGTTTGTCAAGAAGAAAGATGGTTCCATGAGAATGTGCATTGACTACCGGAGGTTGAATAAGGCGACAGTGAAGAATCGTTATCCCCTTCCAAGAATAGATGATTTGTTTGATCAATTGCAGGGTGCATCAGTCTTTTCTAAGATTGATTTGAGGTCTGGATACCATCAATTGAAAGTGGCAGATGGAGCAACTTCAAAGACTGCTTTTAGAACAAGATATGGGCATTATGAGTTCCTGGTAATGCCTTTTGGACTCACTAATGCACCAGCGGTATTTATGGCTCTTATGAACAGAGTTTTCCATGAATATCTTGATAAGTTTGTGATTGTGTTCATAGATGATATTCTCATCTATTCTAAAAGCGAGGAGGAGCACAAAACTCACCTTAGAATTGTGTTGCAAATTTTAAGGGAGAAACAATTATATGCAAAATTCTCAAAATGTGAGTTTTGGCTGAAGGAGGTAATATTTCTGGGACATGTAATTTCTGGAAGAGGTGTCGAGGTGGATCCGAAAAAGGTGGAAGCAGTGGTGAGTTGGACTCCACCAAAAGATGTGTCGGAGTTGAGAAGTTTTCTTGGCATGGCTGGTTATTATCGGCGGTTTGTCGAAGGATTTTCTAAAATTGCTGCACCATTGACTAAACTGTTGAGGAAGAATACTAAGTATGTTTGGGATGAATCATGTCAAAAGAGTTTTGATGAACTGAAAAAGAGATTGACCACAGCACCAGTACTTGCACTACCTTCAAGTCAGGGAGAGTTTGTGGTGTATAGTGATGCCTCGTATCAAGGATTGGGCTGTGTGTTAATGCAAGATGGAAGAGTTATCGCATATGCCTCTAGGCAATTGCGTCCTCATGAAGTAAATTATCCCACTCATGACTTAGAATTGGCAGCGGTGGTATTTGCTCTCAAGATTTGGCGACATTATTTGTATGGTGAGACTTTTAAAATTCTAACTGATCACAAAAGCTTGAAGTATATTATGGATCAGAAGGATTTAAATAGTCGCCAGAGGAGATGGATAGAGTTGTTGAAAGATTATGATTGTACCATTGATTACCATCCAGGTAAAGCTAATGTAGTTGCTGATGCTCTGAGCAGAAAGGGGAAGAAGAATATAAATGATCTGGTTGATTTGAGGGCAATGAATGTTGATTTGGAAGTGGATGGTGTAACAGGGTTACTAGCTCGGTTGAACATTCGACCTTTGTTGCATGACAAAATTCATGAGAAGCAGAAGGAGGACCCAGAGTTGGTAAAAATCATTCAAGACATTGAGGAAGGAAAAGAAAGCCCATTTGAAATGGTAGATGGCATGTTGAAGATTAATGGAAGAGCATGTGTTCCTAATGTTGATAACTTGAGGAAAGAGATCCTAGATGAAGCTCATTCTTCTGCTTATGCTATGCACCCAGGAGCAACTAAAATGTATCACACGATCAAACCATATTTTTGGTGGCGTGGGATGAAAAAGGAAGCGGCTGAACATGTTTTCACATGTCTAGTATGTCAGAAAGTTAAGGCAGAACATCAAGCTCCTGTGGGAAAACTGCAACCACTTCCAATTCCAGAATGGAAGTGGGAAAGAATCACAATGGATTTTGTATATGGTCTCCCATCATCAAGGGGAAAAGATGCAGTATGGGTTATTGTGGACCGACTGACCAAATCGGCTCACTTTTTACCCATTAGATGGAAACCATCACTGGAGACTTTGTCTCAACTATATATTAAGGAGATCGTCAGATTGCATGGTGTGCCAATTTCTATTGTCTCTGATCGAGACCCGAGCTTCACATCTCGGTTTTGGCAAAGTTTACATGATGCCTTGGGAACTAAACTGCATTTTACTTCAGCTTATCATCCTCAAACAGATGGGCAGAGTGAACGAACCATCCTTACCTTAGAAGAGTTACTTCGATCATGTGTAATGCAATGGGAGGAATCATGGATTGACCATTTGCCCTTAATTGAGTTTGCTTACAACAACCAGTACCATAGTAGTTTGGGTGTTCCACCATATGAAGCACTTTATGGGAGGAAGTGTAGAACACCATTATGTTGGGATGTAGAAGGAGCAAGGCAAATCTCAGGGCCAGAGATAGTCCAGATCACAGTTGACAAGGTCAAGAAAATCAGGGAGCGGTTGAGGGTGGCTCAAGATCGACAGAAAGTTTATGTTGACACGAATAGGCGTGAAGTTAATTTCGAAGTGGGTGAGAAAGTATTTCTCAAAGTGTCACCATGGAAAGGGGTGATGAGATTTGGTAAGAAAGGAAAGCTTGCACCTCGATATATTGGACCATATGAAACCACAGAGAAGATTGGACCCGTGGCATATAAACTAGCATTGCCTCCAGAGCTATCCCAAATCCACAATGTATTTCATGTTAGTATGCTGAAGAGGTACAAAGTGGATCCTTCCCATGTTATACAACCAGAAGAGATCGAGTTGGGTTCAGATTTAACTTTTGAGGAGGTTCCAGTTGAGATTGTTGATTACCAGATTAAGAATCTTCGTAGGAAGGAAATCCCAATGTTGAAAGTGGTTTGGAGAAATCAAGATAGTGAGGGTGCTACATGGGAAACTGAAGCAAGTATGCGAGAGAAGTACCCTGAGTTGGTAGCAACCTACTTTACAGGTTAACAATCTCGCTTAATAAGTTATGTTTTGAACTTGCTGATGTGCTTTTGTTGTGATAGCCCAGTATAGGTTTTGAAACCTAAACATGGGAACTTGAGGTGTTATGTGTTACTTTCTATGTTATGAATTGCCTAACCTAAGAGTTAGGTAATGACTTTATGTATGATAGACCATGTTAAGGGTAAGTAAGAGGAGTTAGAGTACGACTCAAGGTTAGATTTCGAGGACGAAATCTTTTAAGGAGGGGAGAATTGTAACATCCCGTTACGGCAAAACCCATATTTCGATCGCTAGAAAATTTCACGATTTAAAATCGAGCATTTCGACACTATTTTGACGAAAATCGGATTATCGATCGATCGGATAAGTATACGTATTAATTATATATATAATATATTATATATATATATATATATATATATATATATATATATTAGTAAGTAGTCGGAGAGGCAGAGCCATTATTTCTTCTTCTTCTTTCATTCGGTTGAGAGAAAGCCGAGAAGCAGAGCTCGCACAGAGCTCATATGAAAAAATTTCAAAGCTCCAAATCTTGAGTTCTACTGATCCAAAAATCCCGTAAGTAATGCCTAATTCATCTATACATCGTGTTTTATCGATTTAGAGCTTTAAAACGAGTTTTTGGTTCAGGAATTTCTTGAATTCCCGATCAGCCAAATTAGGGTTTCGGAGTATCCGGAAGCCGGATTGAGCCCAAATTTCATATACGAGCTTCCTGCAGCGAGGTAATCAATCATCTAGTTCTAATCCCTGAATTTCGGCTATTATTTAGGCCGGGGTCCAAACCGCTGAATTTAGCTCCGGCCAGGGTTTGATGTGTTTTTATCGAGAATTTGACCCGGAGCCTAGAACTAATATTGACGGGGATACTGCAGGGGATATTAGGACGGTCTCGGATTTTAATTCGGGGTTCGTTTGTGAAATTGACGTTTTAGTACGGGAGGCTAGAACCGGTGTTTGAACGACCAGAACTGGTGAGGGATTAGCACGGCATACCGGGTTTGTCGTATCACGATAATTATATTGATGCTTAGAATTGATCTAGGTGAATTAGAATGACATGATTAGGGGTGTATGAGCTTTTATGCTATATGATGAACCATGGATTGTTGTATGATATTATTGACTTGCCCTAGCCGATATGAACCTTGTTTATGTTGATGATTGCATACATATTGCCATTTGTGGCTTAATTGTTGATATGACTTCATGGTTGTTCGATAAGGGGTTTTGACATGGTGTGATATTATGGTTGTATTTGGATCCATAAGTGGGGGAATAAACTTCCCAGGGTGATATTATGATATTTAAGGAGGATGACTTGCACGAGGGTTTATCCCGAGGAAGTGCAATTATACGACTCCTGGTTTACCTATGTTGAGCCAATTATGGGCAGGTCAAGTACATGTGCAAGTAACGAATTATGATTAAGCAAGATGATATATGAATCATGTATAAGGATACCAAATATGAGTGTTGTGGTCTCACGGTCAACTACATAGTAATTAGGGCTCCCTATGCTATTACTCTATTATGATATGTATGATAGTCACACCTCTCATGTGGTGGTGACTGAAGAATTCTTACGAGATATGACCACACCCAGAGCGGTGTTGGGGTATGACTACACCCATAGTGGTGTGGGGTATGTATGACCACATCCGACGGGATGTTGGGGTATGTATGACTACATCCGACGGGATGTGGGGTATGTTTCCCGGGAGAGTTATTAGCATGGGAGTAGCCAGGCGCCTATGATTAAAACATGATAAGATGCATATGCATAAGTCAAAGTGGTTGAGTCTTTTTCTTATTGGGATATGAGGATGGCTGAGGTCCGATCCTAGTGTTTTGGCTTGTTTGCTAGATGTATGGTAGGGGTATGCTCTGTTATGAACTCACGATGCTATGATTATCTCACTCAGCTATGAGCTGACCCTCTTTTATTCTTCTTCTCTGCTTATGCTATGTGTAAGCAGATCATCAGCAGCAGCAGTAGATAAGTGTTAGGTGGGAGAGGAGCTAGAGTTGAAGCCAGGATGAGGTATGGTCTTCAACTATTCTGTGCTTGGACTACTACTTGGGATTTTGGCCAGTGATCCACACCTTTTTGTAAAAATGTTTTGAGAACATTTTCATGTGCATACTAGCTTCGAATGTAGTGTGAGATATCCACAGGTGTGGAAAGTTAATGATATGTGTATATGTTGTGTAACTGTGTAAGTTGTGACGATTATGGTATGTATAAGTATGGTATGCAGTTAGGAAGTATGAAAAGTGTGACTATGGCTAAGAAAAGCCAATGCATATGGTTGTGAGTATATATGTTTGTGATGAATTATTTTGCAGGTTAAGTTGCAAGAACTGTTAGCCCATTACGCGAGTTATTCATGTCGAAATTTTATTTAGGTAAATTTTGATAATTAATGTAACGCCCGAGATTAATTCCGCTGCAATTGTATAAACAATATGATTAGGCAAAACGTATAGGGTAGGGTGTTACATCGTCTCTGCGCCGTATTCTCGGAATTAGAGTCTCACAAAGTTTGTGATATGTGACTCTGGATGGAACCGTCAACTGAAAACTACTACCACCAACGAATTTGACACCCAAATTATCCTCTACTTTCTCCGATTTCCACCGAACAACTAGTTCAAATCTTCTAAAATCACTACAAAAAAACAAACTCACTAATTAAAAACTAAACACAATCATAATAGCATTTGAATAATATAATTACAAAAATAAATGTGTCTCTTACCTAGCCATTTTTGCAGCAGCAACCAGAGCTCTCTCCTCTATTTTGGACGATTTTTTTTGTGGTGTGAATCTGAAACGAAATGTCTGTCTGGGTTTTATAGGGTTGGTGGCCAATCCACCTACTCGCCTCAGTCTCGGGCGCCACCGCCGGAGTCTTGATTTCCCACCTACTCGCTTCAGTCTCGGGCGCCGCCGCCTGAGACTCGGGCGCCACCGCCCGAGTCTAATAAAACGGTCCAAAAACCAAGTCTTAAGCGGCGGCGCCTGAGTCTCAGGTGTACCCGCCAATTCTGATGTATAAAACACAATATCTTTGTCAATAGTTATTAATTGGCCATATTCGTGGTAAATTTAAAAAAAAAACAATATTTATGTCATTGTTCCAATTATGGTTTCTTTCTTGGTCTTTTAATTAACATAATGAATAATTCTAATGTTTTTCGCATAAATTATATACCCAATGAGTAGACCTGCCCCGATCCGCGCTCCATGATAAATTACCCGACCCGAACTCGACCTGCTACAAGACGGGTATGAGTATCGAGATACCCTTCCCGACCTGCCCATTGCCATTCCTAGGGCGGCGATTGAATGTTGTCTGCCTGCTTGGCGGCGATCGTAAGAGAAATCTAATTTCATACGACAGGCGGGGGCCGGAAAGTAAGAGAAGGGGAAGAGGATGATAAAACCGGGGAGGAAAATAGTCCAAAAATTAATAGAGAGGAATTACTATCTAGAAAGATATCGCTGGGGTGAGGTTAAGTATCCCGTCATCGAAACAGAAGCTCCCAGCCAAATCCCTAGTCAACAAATAGCGGCAAGCAAGGCAAGCAATCCGGATTTGTTTGTTGTAGGTCAGACGGAATTGAATTGGAATGGGAGCAAGCAGCGACCCTAATCAAGACGGCGGCTCCGATGAGCAGCAGAAGCGATCCGAGATCTACACCTATGACGCTCCCTGGCACATCTACGCAATGAACTGGAGCGTCCGCCGCGACAAGAAGTACCGGCTCGCCATAGCCAGCCTCATGGAGCAGTACCAGAACCGCGTTGAGATTGTTCAGCTCGACGATTCCAACGGCGAGATCCGCTGCGACCAAAACCTCTCCTTCGAACACCCTTTCCCTCCGACGAAGACCATGTTCATCCCTGACAAGGACTGCCAGAAGCCGGACCTCCTGGCCACCTCCAGCGACTTCCTCCGCGTCTGGCGAATCTCCGACGACCGGGTGGAGCTCAAGAGCCTCCTCAACGGCAACAAGAACAGCGAGTATTGCGGCCCTCTCACCTCCTTTGACTGGAACGAGGCCGAGCCCAAGCGAATTGGCACCTCCAGCATCGACACCACCTGCACCATCTGGGACATAGAGCGCGAAACAGTCGACACCCAGCTCATTGCCCACGATAAGGAGGTCTACGACATCGCCTGGGGCGGCGTCGGCGTCTTCGCCTCCGTCTCCGCGGATGGCTCCGTCAGGGTCTTCGATTTGCGGGACAAGGAGCACTCCACCATTATCTACGAGAGCTCTGAGCCTGATACCCCCTTGGTCCGCCTGGGATGGAACAAACAGGACCCCAGGTACATGGCCACCATCATCATGGACAGTGCCAAGGTTGTCGTCCTCGACATCCGCTTCCCTACCCTACCCGTGGTTGAGTTGCAGCGGCACCATGCCAGCGTCAACGCTATCGCCTGGGCACCTCATAGCTCTTGCCACATTTGCACCGCTGGAGACGATTCCCAGGCCTTGATTTGGGATCTCTCCTCCATGGGCCAGCCTGTTGAGGGCGGACTCGATCCCATTCTTGCTTATACAGCGGGCGCCGAAATTGAGCAGCTGCAGTGGTCCTCTTCCCAGCCTGATTGGGTTGCTATTGCCTTCTCTACCAAGCTCCAGATTCTCAGGGTCTGACCTGATCCGGCCTACTTACCTATTTATAAGTAAACTTTTTTCGTCTTTGCCAACTCCCCACAATTCACAATGGTGTATGCACGCATGTCTACACTACACTTGCTGGTGAGTGCCCCCATGTAATTTCAATTTTAACCTCCTGGATAGGGTAGCTACAATTTCTTTTTCCTTAATGTGGTGTGAGGTGGAGTGAAGGGGTGAAACTTGTTTGGCGTGTACTTGTTCTTAATACTAACTTCATGCGCTGCAACAACTTTGAGTTAGTTTCTACTTCTCCTTTACTTGATTGCTTATGATTTATAAGCTTGTTCTGCACGTGTGTTATGTTCTCTCTGCTCTGCTTGTGGGGGCGTGTTGCTAATGGTATATGAACTTCCAGATGTCATACCTCTGTAAGCTTGCTGTAAGGATTGTACATGTCGGTGAACGAATCCTCTTTTAGATGTACACTCCTGAAACACTTAAATTTGAGTATCAACGGAATAAATGTAACAGTTTAATGTTCTTCAGAGTTGGAGGAGAAGATCATTTTGGCGGGCAGCAGATTCCGATTAAGTGATGCATTTCCTGGACGCACTTGGTTGATCAGATATAGAGGTAGATAGCTAGGATAGGAGCTCAGACCGATATGCAATATGTCAACCAGTGGATACAAGTTTAATCAGAAAGCTGTGTACCACGAGGCACGAGGAGTGCTCAGAACAGTAAACGCGGTTTTTGTTCCTTTTGCACTGTTTTTAAACTCATAATAATTATGATGAGCCTACAATACTTTGCTGTCCGAGCCTCCGAGGTAGGCCTCTGATTGTAGCTGCATCTGTCCCTTCAGTGCATTCTCTAAAGGAAGTGTTATACATTGGGGTATCTGTAGATTGTTTCAAGTGCCAGTAGCTTTGCTTCGCATCAGAATCATGTTAGCTGGACATTGGTTTGGTTTGGGTGCCGATAGAATTTCTGACAAACCGAGCAAGGAACCAATCAGTCGTTTTTTGTCCCATTCTCTCAGACCTGTCACAAGTAGATTCTCCTTGCCATAAACGTAAAGAAAATTGTACAAGCTATCCCCGTATGTATCTTCCTGTAACTGTAAGTGTCACCACCATTATTGTTACTGGGAAACATTCAGCTGCCAAGAAGAAATCAAGGTGGCCGGTCGATGTTTTAACAGTTTTGGAAACATGGAGTTTGAACAATGAAGTGATGTGGATCATACCCGACTAAGCCAACACAAACTTGGGGTGTGAGACCGAACTCTACATCACTGGTGTCACTGATCCAAAAGAGCCGTGCCCAGGCTCGACAATAAACCACTCACAACTACAAGATTATCAATCCCTCAACTAACTCAAAGCGGGTTCTTTGTGTTTTGCACATCAGCAATCAGCAAGTGCTATGAGCTGATCAACTACTCCTGGATCGGCCAGAGTACTCGTGTCTCCAAGCTCATCCAATTGCCTGGACGCAATTTTCCTCAGAATCCTCCTCATAATCTTACCACTTCTTGTCTTCGGGAGGCCAGGAGCCCAGTGTATCCTATCTGGTGCGGCAAAGGGTCCTATCTGGAAGGGAGAAACATATCCACCACTTCAGGCTATATTCAAACATAACAGGCCCCGAGGGCAAAGCTCCAAATAAATAGAACCTAACTATATAGTTGAGGATGCATTCTTAAAAGTTTTATCTTCAGCAAATTTGAGAAACCACTTGCTCTTTCATCAAGTTTGCACTTTTAGTCTTTGTTACAGGTTTTAGGTTATCTATATATACAGTATGCAATACGAATGGAAATGCTCAACTTTCATGCAGGAGAAGATGAATCTAAGTAACAAAAGTAAATGTTTTCTTCTATTTAACCTGGAATAAAATCACTCAAGAGTTTGTTGGTTTTGAGTATGACCTGATTCCGCACAGTAGTTATAAGGTTTCGTCGGAGTTCTTCACTGTAAGGAATGCCATCCACAAGGGTTACAAAGGCATATATACCCTGCCCCTTAACCTGCTAGCCAATGAACAGAAGGGTTTGTCAATTGTCAGATTCACTGCCTTGGAGTATAAGATACCATCAGGACCTCTTTTTTAATTCTAAGCTGGATTTATGAGACATGCCTCATGCTCAACACCAACCACTGCAGCTTCCGCGCATTGGGGATGAGATACAAGAGCAGATTCCACTTCCGCTGTCCCTATCCGATGCCCACTGCAAAACAAGAAAGCATCACTCGAAAGGGAAGAATATGAAAGCATAAGAAAGTGATTGCTGGTGTCCTTTGCATTTCTAATCTAGATTTTTGTTCTGCTTCTTGCTAAAGAGAGTGCCCAAATGCTGTAATTTTCTGGATGGCTGGTCTGGCAGGGTACTAATTGTGGATACCTGTTCTCCATGTCCGTCTTAGTAAGATTTATCTCTTAACATTGTCTATTAAAGAGGAAAAAGTGCAGTAGCCCAAACAGACATAACCTCGGAAGTCAGAACATTTCGTTCATCCAGAATCTTTTTTTTTTTTCATTTTGGGCCTTTTCTTGTTCATTTTTCTCACCAGTATTTTATAGGAACCTTAATTTGAGATATCAAATAAGAATAGACAAGATGGGAAAAGGCTTTTGACATTCGAATATTTGATCTCACCTGACATTGATGACATCATCAACTCTTCCAGTAAGCCAGTAGTACCCATCTTTGTCCCTGGCGCACAAGACCTAATTGTCAATCATTCAGCCCTAGTTCCCAGCCAAATGCTGGGGAACCAGAGCTTTCCATTCATGGGTGACATTAAGATGATAAATGAAGATGAGAGAATTACAATTTGATGTTATAACCCATACCTGCTGCAGCCATCACCGCTAAAATAATAACCAGGGAATGGCTTGAAGTACGTGGTTTCGTATCTTTCATGATCCCCGTAAAGAGTTCGAAACGTCCCAGGCCATGAGCTTTTCACGCAGAGATACCCACTACACTCTCCTTCTATCTCAACACCCTTTTCATCCACTATTACAGGCTGAAGGTGCACCAGCCAAAGATGAACGAATGCGAGTTAGCCAATCAACAATCAACCAAATCCGGAAACAGAATTAAGAGAGCTCAGATAGAATCAAAGTACCTGAACACCAAAGAAAGGGAAAGTAGCAGAACCAGGCTTCTGAGGCCAGGCACCCGGTAAAGGAGCAATCTGACAGGTATGCAATATAATGTGAATGAACTGTAACAAGAAAAGAACCACAGAAATATAAAGTGTTGAATAAATTCATCTATAGTACCATGAAGCCACCGGTTTCAGTCTGCCACCAAGTGTCGGATATCGGGCACCTCGAATCTCCTACTACATTAAAAAACCACCTGCAACAAACAGTGTATTGAGAGAGAGAGAGAGAGAGAGAGAGAGAGAGGTGATCGTGCTTCCAGAAAAGAAAAAACCTCCATGCACTTGGATTGATAGGCTCGCCTACACTGCCAAGCACTCGTAAGGACTTGCGGGAATAGCGCGTCACATACTGCATACACATAATAGTTTGCATCAATTTGCTATTCAATGATGTTTGCTCTGATGGTACTAGCTTCTTCAACCCTGGGCAGTACCGATCCTTGAAGATCATAATTATAAAAGATAACCAACAGAAGTTTTTAATGAATGTTTAATTGTTTATAGTACATGAGATATGTTGGTTCATAATCAGTTAAGTAACATGCAGTTCGTTTATACTCTCAGACTCCAGATGCATTGATAACCCTACTTAGAGAAAAGGAGCTGAAACTGTAATCATATTCCGGACGACATTAGAAGTTAAGATGCCTCTACATGTACCCTACAACAGTGTCTTACCGCATCGCCATCACGCATGAGGGACCGTACCAATGTGGGGGCAGTGTAGAATATTGTCACTTTGAATTTGTCAACAATATCCCAGCAGCGACCTGGATCAGGATAATTTGGTGCCTGCAGGCAAAAGTACTTATGCTACCACAGATCCAGGTCCATTGAACAGAACTTAACACAAATGAAATAATCACCACAGATAACACATCTGGCAAGTAATCATGCTACAGAGGAAGGCAATGACTAAGAAGACTGAAGCTACGTAAGTAGTCTATGATTAGTTTTGTCTTAAAAAGTAATCGGACAAACAAATTCCAGAATTACCCCTTCATAAATGACAACTGTAGCGCCATTGAGCAAAGGTCCGTAAGTCACATAGCTGTGGCCAGTGATCCATCCACAATCAGCTGTGCACCTATCATTAATAGAAAGCCCTGACTAATATTTCCACCTCGTATTGTATGGAAGCCATGATAACTTTGGAAAGGGCAAAGAAGCTCCAAGAAGGTTGCAGAAGCTGTGATTACCAGTAGATGTCAGAAGGTTTATAATCAAACGCATACTTGAAAGTCGTAGCAGTGTAAACCATATATCCTCCAGTTGTATGGAGAACACCCTGAGGACAGCTCCTAGTTAGAAAATTGGCAAAGAAAGAAAGAAACAACTCCATTAGCTTAAAATTAAATACGGAGTTTAGATACCTTTGGTTTACCAGTGCTACCACTAGTGTACAGCAGGAAAAGGGGATCTTCTGCATCAACCCATTCCACCTCACAAATGGTTGAGTATGTTGGAACGACATCCTTAGAGACAAGGGTTTTTTTTTTTTTTTTTTGTGTGTCAAAATTCCGAATGAATAAGCAATATGAAGTACAGCAGACTGCCCAACCATACTATGGCCAAATAGAAGACAATAAAATTATACATGATATCATGGAGACCCATGTAAAACATGTTTAAGAAAACAAGCTATCTGCATTTTCACATAGCACTTATGGTCTCTTGTATGCCTTTGGGGTGGAAGCTAATATGTTTTACATATGATTGAGCATGTTGGAACGACATACTTAGAGACAAGTTTTTTTTTTTTTTTTTTTTTGTCAAAATTCCGAATGAATAAGCAATATGACGTACGCAGACTGCCCAACCCTATGGCCAAATAGGAGACAATAAAATTATGCATGATATTGAGGAGATCCATGTGAAACATGTTTAAGAAAACAAGCTATCTGCATTTTCACATAGCACGTATGGTCTCTTGTATGCCTTTGGAGTGGAAACTAATATGATGGAGAAGATGTCATCTACTTACTTGCCACCATATGTCTCTCCCATCCTGCCATTTTGTGGTTTCCCTCATCATGGCAGACCGATTTTCATAAGTTAAGCAAGCATCTTCACAATGAAAAAGAGAGAGAGAAAACTCAGTAATGGAACCAAACTTTAAGTTCGGAAAATTGGAATCATGAGCCATTCTTTTTCCATATATATAAGGCTTCTCAAACAGCATATTGACCCAACAACGCCCCACCAGAGTCGAACTTTACTCTACTTTGCCTTATTCATAGCAGGTTTGTCATAAACCACTCATATTAGGAAACAAGATTTTGGATTAGAACTGGCAATCAGATATGCAAGTTGAGAATGAAAAATGAGAGAAACAATTTTCCACAGAAGGAAGTAAAAGAAAATTCTTATTGTCATGTACTCTACTCTAGATCATTGTGATAGACGTGACATACCAACTGAGATGCCATTTTTAGCGGATTCACTAAGTGCAGCATCAACTATGTCTTTGAGATGGATGACCTTGGAACCTCTCTTGACCGCATTGCAGGTTAAAACAACTTTCGGTTTGCAGTCCATGATCCTCTGAGCAAGAGAATCTGCAGAGAACCCTGCAAATACGACCTAATGTACATTAAGGGTAAGAGACATCAGCTGGGAGAACTGAATCTAAGGTGAAAGGGAAAAACTGGGGCAGCACTACCGAGTGAACAGCTCCGATGCGAGCGCATGCAAGCATAGCAATAGGAAGTTCCATAAGCATTGGTAGGTAAATTACTACTGCATCACCCTTTTTAACACCTATATCTCTCAAGTAGTTGGCAACCTACAAAAGAGAAGGTTCAAGTGGAACATGTGAATTTGGAGAACACAAAGAAAAAGTCATCTGAAATTCAAGTATTCAACTCCAGCTTATATGGACAATCCAAGCCTAAGACTAGAGGAAGGAGAAAGTAAGAAAGACCTGGCAAACTTGGCTAAGAAGCTGGGTGTAGGTTAGAGAATCGTGGAAACCCCGCTCATTGCCTTCCCAGTGAAAAGCAATCTTATCACCGTTTCCAGAATCTACATTTCTATCCAGGCAGTTGTAGCAAATGTTGGTGATCCCGCCTTTAAACCACTGCACGAAAATTTGTGAACTAGTACGACATTTAAATGATTTCTCGTATCATAAAATTTCGCGGTCAGGTATTCCAAACACGTTCGAAAGGGGGTGATGTGGATAGATGAATGATAATATGGAGAACTGAAAGGTAACCTGCACGTAGACATTGCCGTTGCGTATGTCGAAGTTCTCCGAGCAAACAGTATCTCCCCACTTGCTTTTCCAGAGGAACTGGGAAGCAATATCAGACCAAAATCCAGCAGGATCTTCCACGGACCTTTTATACATTTCCAAGTACTGAACAAAGACGAAAGGAGGCTTTAAGTCAACGGAGTGATTAGAATAGAGGGTGAATGGAAAGAGGAAAAATGAAGAGTGAAACCTTTTGCGCGGAGGGAAGCAAGGCCTGGCGAGCGAAGTCATCGCTGGGGAAGACAAGATCG